GGCAGCGCGTTGCGATCCCAGATTGCTCCCGCTGTAAGGATTGGATCCACGGCTCCACACGCCTTGGTGAGGAATCAGGGCTGCTAGCGCGCGGGGGTGACTGGGCACTGAAGTGGCGCTCTTGGCCCCCAGAACGAGAGCAGCTGTGTGAAACAAAGGCCTGAGCTTCCCTCTCTCACTCCCGTTTCTTGTAGCTGCTAGGATGAGCTTGGAGAAGATGATAACTTCAGGGTTGCAGTCGAGGCCTCGTGCCTCTGACTGGAATCTGCGCTCCAGCAGAGGTTTTGCTCCTCCAACATCACGAAACGTCCACCCAGGAGAGGGAGCTGGAGCCTGTTCCAGCACGCAGAGGGCGCAAGGACACACCCTGGGCGGGATGCCAGCCCATCGAAGGGCACACTGACACACACACACACACACACACACACCAGGGCCAATTTTCTCAGATGCCAGTGAACTTCCCTACTGTGGGAGGGAACCCACACAGACATTGGGAGACCATACAAACCCCATCCACTCCACAGCATCCCTGGTCCAGTATTGAACCCAGGACCACTGGGCCGCCGTGTTGCCCCACATCACAAGACAGCTTCCATGAATGACCTGTTTGGGTGTTGAGTGAAAGTGGACAGCAGGGTGGTCTAAGGTGAGGTCCCGTCCTGTCCGCTCCGCTGCAGAGGTTTAATACAGCCAGCATTACTGTTCTACTGCTGATTAACGGTGAAATAATGCAGGGCTGGGATGCTGCCGCCGGTGGTTGGCTCTGCTGTGTTTGGGAGAAGGCGGGCAGGTCCTGCCCAGCTCTGTTTCCGTCGCTCCTCTGCAACTTTAAGCAGCTCGGCGGGTTCTGTCCCCTTTAACTCTCTGTGAAGCCCGGCTCTTCCTGCTGCCGCGTGCTGGGTAGGGCCGACTTGTGGACCATGCCCTTACTGTACGCTGCGGGTGTGCAGTGGGTACTGAACTTTCTCTTAACCTGCTCAGAGGATTTTGTGGGATTCTGTGTGCCGAAGTTAACTTGTGTAACCACGCGATGACGTCGCGAAAGCGTCTGCACCGGTAGAGAAAAATAAAGTGGAAACAAAAACGTGTTTTGTGAAATATTAAAATTACAGTGGACAAATGCCAAAGCTATCTTTTGTGTTGGTTTACTTATGAACATTGTCAAGACAGAGTAAAAGTGATAGTCGAAATATAGTTACAATAAGATTGTAGCCTTAACTGTGGAGAATGCTTGCCTTTAGTCTATACAATGTAAAACATTTACATTATTGAAGGTGTTACATTAACCTTAAGTAAACAACAAATATTTTGTATGGTACTTATTTATATTGTCTCGTTTTGCAAGCTATATATTTTGTATTACCGTTCTTTGTAAATACTTCCAGCGGCGTTGGAAGTGAGGTTCAGTGCTGTGTTTGTGAAATAAAATCTATTCCAGTGAGCTGTGAGTTATTCTTATGTTCACAATGCTTAGTGTAATGATTAACGCCACACTTCTGCCCCAACTGGATAGAATATGCTGAACTGTAAGGGTTAACCTTGCATTCACGTTTAAAAGTGTTACCGAGGCTGTGAGACTAATTTGCTTTTCCATATTAAAATCAGCGCTTATGGTGTTGGACGCTCTTTTTTGAACTGTTATTAAGATTAAACTACTGGCAGTCAAGACTGAACATTGGAGACGGATTTACATCGGAACCGAGGACTCCTGACCGCAGCATCAGGCGTTTAGACACCCGTGCTTCTTCCTCAGAGTGTCCCGGGAGAACGCCCGCTTGTGTTTTGTGTTACCGGGTGTACTGTGTGAGTACATCGCTTTGGATAAGGGCGTCAGATAATAATTACCTCGAACTTCGCACCCCCCGTGGTGCATCACTCTGCATTTTTGGACAAAGGCTTCAAAAACGCTTCGAAAGTGTGTTCTCAGCGTTTTGTCCAACTTCTGCCCAACGTCTCGCAGCCCCGCCTCTGTAAATTGGACTAAAAGCTAGGCTACAATCGCAGGCAAATCAGTCATGTCGGTTTTTTGAACTCGAAATCACTTTTTTTAACACCACTGAAGTGGACACCCTATAGCCACACAGTACGCCGCTTCTGTGATTTAGGGGTTACACGTACAGCGTACCTAAGTCATTGCACCCTTCTTGGTAAAGTGGAAGTATTTCATATCTACAGTATTAGACGATTTTACACTAGCATAAATTAAATTGTATGAGAGATCAAATCAAACTACCACTCTTAACTGCTCAGAAGACAATTTTAAACGTGAACAGCTTCTCGGAGTGCCGCATTGGTGTGCTTACATTTACCGGGGAATGCGATTTGACATTTTAACAATATAGCAAAGGTTATTTCTTTAAAACGCGGGACTATGCGATAAGTGACTTTAAAAAAAAAATGTGTCACGTGGCGGGCGACTTTTAAAACCCCTGCCCCCGTGCTGAAGTTTTGTTTCGAAGAGCGATTCATCTTGTCATATTTTTTAGAAAAATGACCATTGGTTGGTTTTGTAACTACAGGTGTTGGATAGCCTGCAACGACACGTTATGTGGCGTCGTTCACTCATACTCTCCCTTTAAGATCATTATATGTATTTATTAAGCACACAAAAATCCAGAAAAGAGAGAAACCCTGAACAGCGTCTAAACGCAGTGTGAAAGCCTTAGCTTTGGGGCTGCTACCATAGACCAAACGCACAACTTCAGCGTTTCTTCACCTACATCTCTTACTCGAGGTGTGCGGGTTAGATAACAATGAGCCTGGGGGGGTGAGGGCTTCCTGCCGGTGCGGGGAGGACTGAGGGGTTAACGTGCGCGCTGGGGCTTTAAGCTGCTCTCCGGCCCTCGGGCGCTGCGCTTCCACACCCACGTCAGCACGGCCTCCCTTTTGTCCGGCAACCGGGTTTTCGTCTTTAGGGCTGAGCAGCGACCGTATCGCCCTGCGCCGGAGACGAAGAGGAGAGACTCACTTTTTTTCCATTCTTTTATTTTCTCCTGCAACAAACACACACACACACAAATGGACATTCTTTCCGAAATGCGGACGAAAGGATCTTCACAGACACCCGGCGAGCCGGGGCAACCGTGAGTATCGCCGGAGAAAGCAGCGGGTATCGGGAAGTGAGGAGCGTGGGAGGCAGGGCGCAGGGACCGTAGGGCGTCAGCGGGTCCTGCGGATAATTGCAGCCCGTGAAGGCAGCGCCTCGCACCGCAGAGAACCAGCTCGCGTCTCCGCTGACCATGGTGCTGGGCTGCAGCTGCGCTGGGTCTTCGGCTGGCTGGGTGAAACGGGTGTCGAGACGGAGGACTCGGGAGAGCAGCGTCCACGGACGTGTATCCTCCTCGCCATTTCAGCCAACATATATATATATACGTATTTTTTCGCGTTCTTTTCGCGAAATCCCCGGTCTTGGTTATTTCATTGTTAGTTCTTCGGTGGGCGTCCTTTCTGTAAACCCCAAGGGCTGAGAGCGGAGATCTCGCAGTGGTAACAGCGAGCTCTGCGTGCGAGGCAAAATATCTGGCGGATAAAATGTGATTTTAACACAGTTTCACGACACACTGAGGTATATGCAGAGTGGAGGCTGAACGCACTTCACGATCAATAGTTATCGCTTCCCTTCGTGTTCAGTGTTTCGGTCTGGCAGGAGCCTTCGGGCGCCTCTGCCAAGCCACAGGGTGCTACTGCTGTGCCGTTTAGTTTTCTTTAAACAAAACAAACGTGCCCCTCACGTTCTGGAATCAGAACCCAAATATATCAAATGCGTTTTTTGTTGTTTTAAAGAACTTAAAATAGGAAAGGGGGGGGACCGGGTTTATAGCTGTAGGCTGTGTTCTTAAGAAAAGGGCACCTGGGAAATAAAGGGTATTTTATGCGCTTTTTATTTAAAAAAAAAAACTAAAATCCTGCAGATGCCTTTTTTCAGCTATGGCGCGATAATGAGAGCAGGCTTTCGTGTCGCTCCGTGCGCTGCACGGCAGGGCTGTGTCCGCAGCGCAGTGCCTCTGTCGGTCTCCCCCGGCGCCCGACGCCGTCAACCGGGTGTAGCTTTTCAATCCACTTCGAGAGAGCTCGCCTGTGAGCGGCGGGCAGCCCGGCCAATCGGCGTGCGGACAGGAGACTGGGAGGACGCGATTAACCGTGCGGCGAGACCCCCCGCCCCTCTTTCTTCCTTATTGAACATTTTCAAATTAAAAAAAAAAAAACGACCGAGCTGTTCAGGGCACCCGGAGACTGTATCTCACCGTCCTTTAATCTACAGGCATTTTATCCATTCGACGTCCTTCCATGCAGTACGTGGGCGATGTAGAAATGTCTGTAATGGAAAGGTTTCCTGCTGGTTAAACCAGCTGGAAAAAAGAATCCACTCACTGTAACGTGGTGTTGCGGACGGTAAATGTGGGTTTTTCGTCTATCAGCAGCATCACGACGTCATTGAGAGTATTTTACTGTGATCTTGGCCAAAAACTTCAAGGGGCGACAGGGCCCTCACAATTCTAAGGATGGCTTTCCTTCATCCAGCCTCGTTGGTGGGAGACCCTGTGCACCCCCAGGAAAAACAGTAGTAGTAAATCGGATATTTGTCAGACATGTGTCTTGAATTCTTTCTTTTTCTAGTCTTTGATACCCATCAAGGGCCAAGGATGGACAAAAAAAGACAGAAAACCCAGGAATGTGCTTTTAAATGGGGTGCCAAGGGTTCTTGCATGCCTCATAACAAGACATGTTGTTACCATGTTAACTTTTGAGGCAGGCGCATGCTGATGTCAGAGATACGCATGAATTTATCCTGTCTTATTCTCCAACCCACTTGACCTGTCCCCAGCTCTGTCTCTCCTACCTAATTCACTCTCCTGTTCCGCACTCTTGTCGATGTCTCCTCACCCTGGGATGCTCTCTCTCTTCTCTAGGCACCCCTCCCGCGTCTCGGCGCTCAGCGCTGACATTTCCTCCAGTCATCAGAGCCGTCTGCTGCAGCAGCTGGATGAGCAGCGCAGGCAGGAACTCTTCTGTGACTGCAGCGTGCTGGTGGAGGGGCGGGTTTTCAAGGCGCACCGCAATGTGCTCTTCGCCAGCAGTGGCTACTTCCGCATGCTGTTGTCCCAGGGCGCCCAGGACTGCGGGCAGCCTGTCAGCGCCTCCTTCGAAGTCTTCAGCCAGGACACTTTCACCGTCATCCTCGACTTCATGTACTCGGGGAAGCTTGACCTCACTAGCACCAACGTCATCGAGGTCATGTCAGCAGCCAGCTACCTGCAGATGACCGACGTCATCGGCTACTGCAAGAGCTTCATCAAGTCCTCCCTGGACATCAGCGCCAAGGAGGAGGATGACCACTACCTGAGCCTGTCTGAGAACGCTTCAAGGTCTGGGGGTGTCAGAGAGCCGCAAGATTACTCCTCCAGCAACGCGGGGGCAATGCTGAAAAGCCCCAGCAGCTCTCAGCCTGCCTCCTGGCACATTTACAACAGCCCCGAAGTGGACTACCACAAGGAGACCAAGTCTGAGCCAGAGCCCGCCAAGCGCGGCTCATCCCCGTCAGAGCAGCCTTCTCGGCGAATGGGCCGCCGAGCCCTTCAGATCGCTGACCCCGAGCTACACGCCTCACCTGGAGGGTACCAGTTCAGTTTGGGGCCAGAGGGGGGCGCTGGGGAGACAGGGAAGAAAAAAGACTGGTCTATTCAGCCCGCGGCCACGCGTTCTTCCTCCGAACTGAAGGGGGCGCCCTCCCGCCCCAAAGCAGAGAAGGCTGACGAGCTCTACAATACATTGCCCACTATCGTTGGGGTTGTGGGCCTCTTCAACAGAGGTGAAGCCGGTGTGGGGGGGAACCTTAATTATGAACCCTGTGAGGAGCTAAACTAAATAAGTGCTGGATGTGCAGAGGAAGGGCGCTAACTACAGGAACTGCGCAAGTCTTCTGATATTTGATATTAGCTGCGAACTTTCTCAAGATTTAGACTCCACAAATGTCTGTGAATGTAATTCTAATTATCTCACTGCTGTCCCAAGATTGCAGATTTATCGTGACCTTGTTTTACTTCCTCAAGCAAATGTTGCACTTTGCTTTGGTGGGGTGTCTGCAGGGTGAGGGCTGGGGGTCGGGGGTTAGGGAGCCGGGGTCATAAGAGAGGGGTCAGGGGTCAGGGAGAGGGGACAGGCCTAGGGGCCTCGGTTTCTCAGCGCTGAACCCCGTGTCTCTTGTCCTGTCCAGACGAGTGCCCGACCATGCGGTTCAAGTGCCCGTTCTGCACCCACACGGTGAAGAGGAAGGCGGACCTGAAGAGACACCTGCGCTGCCACACCGGGGAGCGTCCATACCCCTGCGAGGCCTGCTCCAAGAGGTTCACCCGCCTGGAGCACCTGCGCAGCCACTTCCAGACCGTGAGTGTCCGTGTGCGCGTCTGCGCCTGTCTGCTTCCGACTCTCCCGCTGTCCCAGTCCCAGTGTCTGCCCGGCTAGCAGCTCTGTCCTGCTGCCACGCTCCCTGTGCACCTCCGGGGACTCCGAGCGTTTTCCCTGAAACGATTACTTCCTGACTGCATACCCGCTAGACGCTCCTGCGCTTCCTGTCTTCCCAACAGATCCACCAGGCCAGGAAGCTGATCTGCAGGAAGTGCAAGCGGCAGGTGACGGAGCTGAGCGGGCGGGTGGTGTGCGAGGGCACGCGCCGGTACCGCCTCTGCAACGAGTGCCTGCTGGAGTCGGGCTGCGACAGCGTGGTGTTTGACAGCTCGGACCCGGCCGGCGGCGTGATGGGGCCCTATTTCGGGGAGGAGGAGGGGGACAAGGGTTGGCCGATGACAGATGAAGATGATCTGGCGGAAGACTCGGGCGCAGACCTCATCATTCAGGAAGTGGAGGACAGCGACGAGGAGCTGGAGCAGAAGGAGACCAAGCCAGTTGTGAGCTAGAGCTCCACCCAGTGGAGGGAGTATGAATTGAAACCCATACTTGTTGGGTCCTGGTCTGTGGGTGTGGGTTTGTCACAGGAGTCAACAGTTTTGCATGCATGTGTAGAATCCCTGCCTTCACATTCTCCCAGTCCCAACACTAGAACTGGAGCCACAGAACATTTTTTCAGTATTTTATTTGGAGGCAGTAAGAGTTCTGAATAGAAGCTGTCGTGGACACTGTGAAGCTTTGAGCATCAACAATGGTGACACTTTTAAATTGCCAAAGGAATCTTAAATGGATTTTTAAAAAAAGTCCTGCAACTTCATATCCTAAACATGTTTGGAAATCCATCTCTTAGAAAAGCACCTACATTTTTAAAAAGACTGCCCTGATTTTGTAGTAACACTAAAGAAGCAGCTTTGATTGTCTGATAATGGCTTTTCTTAGTCACCTGTCGGGTTGTTGTTGTTCTGAATTTTTAAAGAATGGCTGAAAAATATCCCAGCTTTGTATTTGCACTTTTAGTCACAAAGGAGCTTTTAATTTATTTTAAGGCAAACTTAAAATAGGGGATCCAGAAACTGAAAATCCTGGCACAATCAACCAAGCGACCTCCTTCAGTGTCGACAGGGAACTGAATCAGAGGCTGCACATGGAAACCAAGTGAAAGTGCATTTAAATCCGAGAGCAGGGGGTGGTTCTTTACATAGCGGGTTGTGAGAGGCTGGAAGAGGTAAGCTGGCCATATTGCTGTAGACGATACCCTGGCCTCTTTCAAGAAATGGCTTGGTGAGACCCTTGGACCCGCCAGCAACTACGATGCAAATGGGCTAGAGGGGCTTAATGAGGACTGCCTGCCCTTGTCTGCGACGTTTCTGATGTCCTAATTTCCGGCCTGTTTCCAGGCTTCCTTCTTTAGCAGTTCTCTAGGAGACGTTTCACTGGTCCTTCGACTTGCCGATGGTGTCTTGGTGAGAATGGGTGCGAAGGTAGGCAGGTAGGCTTTATCGGCAGTACTGCAAAACACGAGGGAGAGATTGGACCAAGGCTTGCTGTAGCCTCTGTTATGGCTTTAAGTCTACCTTATAATACAATGTTTGCTGTTTGGAACAGTCTTTTTTTCAGACCTTCAGTGATATCAACCAGACTGGGAAATGCAGGCATAGAAATGATCCCTGTCCTACTGTTGTTTTTCATCGAATTTTGTTCTGTCCTTGAGTTTTGTACTGTTTAAATATTGTCGAGTGCACGCTTTGTTTTCTGAACTTCTGAATGTTGTTGTTTTTTTTCCCCAAATGCTTCTACATGTATCGTGTCTTTATTTATAATTGTTCTTTTGCCTTGTAGGTGTTATGTTTTTTTTTATTGTTGCCTTTTCACAAATGAAAACCATTTTTGTACTTGGCTGAGGAAAGTCTTGCTTGCTGAGTAACTGATTGTATGGAGGGAAATAAGGCGGATCTGGGTGTGTGCCCTGTGCTTCCGCTGTATGTGTGGTGGTGTAGCTGGGCATGTCCTGTGATCATGTATGTCTGGGATAGTCCATTCTAGTCCTGAAAGCTGGAGGCTCTTGGATCGTGATCAAATAAAGACCTAAAGCAGCAACAGGCACGTTGGCTTTTTGCCCAAACGATTAATATTCCGCGAAGTCCTTAAGAGCAGAGATGGAGTGAAAATTAAGGGCTGCTTAGTCTCTCAGGCGGTGGAGGTGACCATCTCTGATGCATGCCTGTGTTTGTGCTCTTTAGTCTTGTTCTTCCAACCCAGTGAAAACCAGCAGCCACGGATCTGAGAAGAAGCCCCTCTCTCTGTCCTCTGTGCCTGTTGCTGTGGTCGGGCGCCCTGCTGCTGTGGAAGACTGCTCCCTGTCTTTCGGCAGAAAGCTGATGTAACTGCGTCGCGTCCCGCAGATGGGCACGGGCTGTGCTGTACACATGAAAATCCATTTTAAAAATCCTGTTTGTTAACGTTTTTTAAAGAATTTAAAACTTCCGTACAACATTAAAAACCTTTTTAGTTTACAGTCATTAACTTATGCGCTGCAGTTCATACTCCTCTACATCTCAGCCTGAGCTTTGATCCAGCGAAGTGATTATTTAGTTGATTAGAGCTCTGCTATTAGTTTAAGCTTTTCAGACGGTTACATTTATAATAAAATAATAAACTTGATTTTATATACACGGATACCAGTTACATAAAAGCCTTTATGAGGAAGGGTTGGAGTCTGGATTTTAATGCGCTTAGGGTAGGTCACATGAATGAACACAATTCCAGTTTTGGGGCGCAGCAGGAGAAGCCCTATCAAATTGGCTGCAGGCGAGTTTGGGGGACAAACGAGATCAAAATCAGACGAATGAAGTTTGCGATAAATTTCAACTTAAATGCTTACATCGTACAAGTAATTTAAACAGTTGGAACGTAACATCTGGAACAGAGCTCGGGATTAGGAGGCGCCTACCGATTGTTAATTTACAGCAGGGCACGCCAGCAGTAAAACGCTATCTTTGTATCAGCATTCTTGACTTACTATAAAACTGTTCAAAGTTTTTTTTTATAATAATCATTTAAATGTTTTAATAGCGTTATACAAAGCAATGCTTTATTTTACCTTTATTTTTTATTAATTTTACATTTAGATATTATACACTGCCTCTATAGTTCAAACGTCGCCGCACAGCGAGTGAATATTATTTCTTGTTTAGTATGAGCAAGGATCCTTTCTTTCAATGTTTCTGGCAGCCACGAGCGTGGTTTTTTCAGTGTTTTATTAAACATCAGAGAACACAAGTAGGGGAGAAAGGGAATTAATCCAGAAAAGACTAGTGAACAGAAAAGCACAGACCGATCCGCTCCAGAGGCCATTACAAATCTCAACACAAGAAGTTACAGTTTTAATGTACATCAATTGTATTTTTTGCCTTGTAATTTTTCATGTTTTTAATGGAGTTTAAGTAATTTTACATCTCCACCTTACAAGCATTAAAAGCCAGAGAAGCACTAGACCATATCTAACCAGTATTACTGACAGCTTAATTACAAATAAATGCTCCTTTTCCATCTTGCACCTTATCTTATTAAGAATGTCAAACTACTTAAATCCAAGATTCACACTTAAAACGCTTAAACATAAAGTTTTGCAAAATCTATCCAAAACAATGCTGGTAACAAATTTTCCAGCCTCACCGAACACGCACAAATCAGCTTGTTCACGTTTCAGTTAGAAAGTGGTAGTTTAACAGAATAAAGTCCAGCTGTTCAATGTTCCTGTCACCTTCCCGTGAGCGGGCAACACACTCCGCCGCTGTTGCGATGGGCGATACAATCCGCCGCCTGCTCATCTTCCACCATCAAAGCGAAAGTCCGGCAACTGCGCGAGACAATGGCACGTGATCACCGTGTCACATGACCCCGAGTTCCACTTCGAGCGGAATCGGTCCAGACACACAGTGGGTCTGTAGTACATCTTTGCTACTAATACACGCTTGGACTGGAGGAGGCGCAAATATATATATATCTATCTTAGACCTGCTACTGCTAGGTAGCAAGTTGCATGTTATATTTTAACGTTTGTAACTGAAGTCCCTTTTCAGACTACAATGCGGGCTTCTCGCCTGCTGTATCTTAGCTGTCTCTTGGTGTCGGCTGTCCGGTCTCGGTACGCTCCGGACTGGGCCAGCCTGGATTCCAGGCCGCTGCCCTCGTGGTACGACGAAGCCAAGTTCGGGATCTTCGTGCACTGGGGTGTGTTTTCGGTTCCGGGGTTCGGAAGCGAGTGGTTTTGGTGGCACTGGCGGGGAACGCAGGAGCCGCTGTATGTGGACTTCATGGAGAAGAACTACCCGCCTGGGTTCGCCTACCCGGATTTCGCCCCCGAGTTCCGAGCCCAGTTTTTTGATCCGGAGCAGTGGGCTGACGTATTTGAGGCTTCGGGGGCGAAGTGAGTTGCTTCGGTCTTCGGCGCTATCCCGCTCTTGGCTCTTCTGCTTTAAACTTTTAAATATTTTGACCGGAGAACAGCCGGCTGTTTTGTTCGTTTGTTTGCATTATTTCTGCAATCAGCCTGCGACATGCGCCTCCGCGGCTCTTGCTAACGTCTGCGCTGGTTCCCCGCCGGCAGGTACGTGGTTCTGACAGCCAAACATCACGAGGGCTTCACGAACTGGGGTTCGGCGGAGTCCTGGAACTGGAACGCAGTGGACACGGGTCCGCACAGGGACCTGGTGGGCAGCCTGGGGTCTGCGCTCAGCAAGAGGTGAGATAGGTGTGGGGCTTAGAGCAGAGTAGAGTACAGGAGTTTATTGCCCATATGTATGTTCTTGTTCTTGCTCGCACGGATCTCTGGGGACATGCATAGTACAGCAGACAACACAGTACAACAGGACAACGCTACACAATGTAGACAATGCATTAATAACAGCGGGACAATAAATATGTAGGACTGAAAGCAAAACATGGTAGACCATGCAGAAAGTGCAGAGTGCAGACGTGCGTGGAGCCGGAGGCATTGCCGTTCGCTGTCAAGGATGTGAGCAACGGGGGTGGTTGGGCTTGGGCAACGCAGAGCAGGGCTTTCTGCTGTCCGTCAAGGTCCACTTGTTCATGTCCCCTTTAATGTTTCCGCCCAGAAACAAAGGGACAGACGCCAACAGAAATGAACGGCGGCTCTGCCTGGTGTTTGAAACGAGACGCTTGACTTCCTCTGGGCGGGTGTGAATCGCGTGTCGGCAGCAGAAAACGCTCGTGTAGGCTACGCAAACGTGTCGGGAGTATTACATGAAATGTTATATAATAAAAACCCAAAGTTCGCCCAGAGCCCCTGTGGAAGTGTGGAAGAGCTTCCCAGTCATGCTGTTGAAGTCTTGGCTTTTTTCGGGAAATGGCTGGTTGAGATCAGTGTTCCGTTCGCGACTTACTACCAAATAGGCTGAGCAGCCTCCTTCGGTTTGTATGTTTTCTTATGTTCTTAAAGCAGGAAGTACTGTAAGCAATTCACAGTTTTTGTTCCATAAAAGAATGCAAAAATCCTGCGTGGTTCACAGGCTAATAATGTTCTGCTCGTCTCCTGGATAGAGAACAGCAATCTGATCTGCATCTGGTGTTGTTCTGAAATGCTGCTGGCTCTCAGGTCTGTCTGTACACCCCTCTCAGGTCTCTGCGCTACGGGCTGTACCACTCCCTCTTTGAGTGGTTCCACCCCCTCTACCTGGCTGATAAAAAGGCTGCCTTTAAGACCCAGGAGTTTGTCTTTCGCAAAACCCTCCCTGAGCTCTACGACCTTGTCAACAGGTAATAATCGCCCGCCCAATTTCCAGCCGCTTCTTTCAGTACAGGGTCCCGCAGAAGCTGGAGCCTGTCCCCGCCCTGGATGGGACGCCAGTCCAGCTCGTGATAGACGTGCGTGCACACACTCACACCAGGGCCGGTTTTCTCCAAAACCAGTTAAACCAACACCATGTCTTCGGGCTGTGGGGGGAAACCAGAGTACCTGGAGGAAGCCCACACTCACATGGGGGCGTACATACTGTACAAAGTCCACATAGACAGCATCCCATGTTATGGAATTGAACCCAGGGCCAAAGCGCTATAAGACAGAGATGCTAATCGCTGCACTACTATGTGGCCTCACAGGTAGTCAATCTTATTGTTCCAAAATATTAAAAGTGATCTCAGTGGTGCATGAAGAGATGTTTGCTTTGTAACAATGAAGCCGCATGGAATAGCAGTAGGATGGTTTTTATTCTTAAAATCGGCTAAATGCCCCCTGTTACCACAGGTGGTTGTTGTGAATTCTGTTGGCTAAAAACCATGTGTAAGGTGTGTGACATGGGAACTGTAGTCTTTTATCTCAGCTTTGCCCCTTTCATGCTGTACTGCACTCCAGCAGTGGATCTTGCTGACAAGGTGTTAAATAATACAGCTCCCATTTGTTATGATCAAAGTGTTTATTGGTCATGTTGGGGGCAAAGATAGGTTGAAACAAAATAGACTGACACAGAATTGCAATGAACACGTCTTCCTTTAGTCCAGTTATCATACGGCAGATAGCCCGGGCTCTGACTGTCTCTGTGGTGGTTACAGGTTCACTTGCTGTCCTCTTCCAGGTACCAGCCAGACCTGATTTGGTCGGATGGGGACTGGGAAGCTCCTGACACCTACTGGAATTCCACCCAGTTCCTGGCCTGGCTCTACAATGACAGCCCAGTCAGGGTGAGCATTCCAGAGGAACTGCCCTTAATATGTCCTGTATAGTAGTTCGATTTTCTCTTCCTTTGTACAATGCCTTAATCATGGTCTCAGCGTTGATCCTAGGAAAAGTACCGTGGCTGTTAGGTAACGAATTTGTCAAAAATGATATACAGTAAAACATCCGAAGAAGGCTCCACAGCCGAAACATGTTTTCTTTCTACTCTTTTCAGCATGGAATAAACCTAGTACTTGTTCCTTTACAGTAAAACATGCCTGACAGCAAAAAAAAAAAATACAGGACCCATCTGGTGTGAATATCCTGTCCTGAGATTGTAAAGGCTATTGACATCTCTCTTCCAATGGGTCTGTGAAGGTGGTGTCCAATGGTTGGCCAAGATGCTAATGAAAGCACAAGAGCTGGGGGTGATGATGCATTTCCTGATTGGATGGCTTCTTGCAGGACTCTGTGGTGACCAATGACCGCTGGGGGGCGGGGTGCGCCTGTAAGCACGGCGGCTATTTTAACTGCGAGGACAAGTACACTCCGGGTCGGCTGCCCGAGCACAAGTGGGAGAAGTGCACCTCCGTGGACACTCTGTCCTGGGGATACCGGCGGGATATGACCCGGGATCAGCTGCTCGACCTGCCAGCGATCATAGCGGTACGGCCGTTGCCCGTCCGCCACCATCCTGTTTCAGCCGTGTGTCCGGTCCTGGCTGTTGCCACTTGGCTGTTTTGTCTGCTCTGTCCTCTGTGCAGGACCTGGTGCGGACCGTGAGCCTGGGGGGGAACTACCTGCTGAACGTGGGCCCCACGGCCGATGGCACCCTGCCCGTGGCGTTCGAGGAGCGGCTGCGCGGCGTGGGAGGCTGGCTGGCGGTGAACGGGGAGGCGGTGTACTCGTCTCGTCCCTGGAGGGTGCAGAACGAGAACGCCACCGTGCCGCTCTGGTGAGGGGTCCGGTCCGGAAGCTGCCGGGAGCCTTTCCTCCTGCGCCCCCGAGCCCCCTAGTTCTGATTCCGTAAGGCTCGGCCCCTCTCGCTGTCCTCTCGCTCGGGCAGCCCTCCTCATTCTCCCTGGGCTGTCGATGGCTCGGGTGGGCCGTTACCCGCAGGGAGAGTCCGTCCCTCCGGGTCGTCTGCGATTGTGGGGTTGGGATTGATGGGGAGGCCAGACCGCGTGCCCACGGCGACGGGGACCTGACGCGGCGGTCTCCCCTGGCAGGTACACCTCGAAGGGCTCCGACGTTTACGCCATCTTCCTCGAGTGGCCGGTGGACAACGTGCTGCAGCTCGGCGCTCCCAAAACCTCCCCCGCCTCGAACGTACGTCCGGCGCCTCTCTCGGAGCACAGCCTTTCCAAGCCCCAGGGGTCTTGACGTTTTTGAGAATCCAAAATCCGAAACTCTAAAAGAAGAGTCTGCATTTGCAACTCCCTACTAAAAAATGTTTTTAAAAAAATTCTGTACATAAATTTGTTTTGATCATATTTTGATATGGTATTACTAGAAAATGGCAGCTTAATCTTTTAATCTAAAAAAATCCCAGCAGTTGCTGGATTGTCCCAGGGTGGTTAATGAAGTTTCTCTCCCCCTTGTGTGTCTGGGTGTACAGGTGACATTACTGGGGTACCCCAAGCCCTTGAGGTGGATGCCCAGGGGCCCGACGGGCCTGTCGGTGTTCCTGCCTGTCCTGCGCACGCCACTGGCGGTGGGCTGGACGCTGAGGCTGCAGGGCTCGGCGTGAGAGCAGACCCCTGTCCTGCTGCTGGGCCGTGTGCGCGGTCAGCCCTCGGCTTCTGCGCAGAAAAGGGATGTTTACCACAAATCTGCTCGACTGCACTGACGTGTGGTGAATCAGAAGGAAGAACAGAGGAAGAAATTTCCTATCCTCGTGCACTGAGAGCTTTTCAAACATTTATCTTTTTTGTATTGTCCTAAATTTACATGGTACTTGCCCATTGACGCATTTTGTACCTTTATGGTGACTCTGGTAATAAAATCACTGCAAGTGTCAGTGTATCCTCTTAGTGTTTGTGTACCTTCCCTGAGTACAAGTGGGTATCTCCTCTCCTTGTAATTTTAATTTCTTAATGTAAATTGCTTTGAGAAGCTACTTTTAAAGGTGCTATATACATAGAATAGTTTATTATTTTATTATTAATAATAAATCATAAGACAACATGTTTTATCCGTCAGATTGAACGTAAAACCAAGGTCCTGACTCTCTCTGGTCATTAAAAATCCCAGGGTGTTTCTCGAAAAGAGTAGGGGTGTTACCCCAGTGTCCTGACCAAATTTCCCCCTGGCCTTACCAGTCATGGCCTCCTAATAATCCCCATCTCTGAACTGGCTTAATCGCTCTGCTCTCCTCCCCACTGAGAGCTGGTGTGTGGGGAGCGGACTGGTGCATCATCCAGGTGGGGCTGCACACTGGTGGTGGTGGAGGGTAGTCCCCCATTACCTGTAAAGCGCTATAAGTGTAAGCAATTATTAACTATTAATTATCATGTTATGAGTATATATTATAAGATAACATACCCTAAGCCATACTGTAAGTGAGTGTGAATAGATCTTTTATTCTGGTTTCCTCGAGGCTTTGAAAAGTTAAGGTTAAGTTGTGCAACAAGAAAACAAAATAATTTTTCGGACTCGACAAATACGTGAATTTATAAAAATGGATATATATTTTTTTTGGGAGGGAAAAAAAGAAGAAAATAAACATGCCTCCCCGTCGGGGAATCGAACCCCGGTCTCCCGCGTGACAGGCGGGGATACTCACCACTATACTAACGAGGATTGGCGTGAGAGATGGCTCCTGAATCTCACACTTAACCGTGACGTGGGCCGTGCTGCCACAGCGCTGTACACGTCTGTGAGTGTCAAGTTTAGATTAATGTGGAATAATGTACATGTGCAACACCCAGCTCCAGGGGTCCCGAGCGCTGGCCGATGGCGATGCGGGACCAGCGCAGCAGCAGCGGCGCTAAGTGTCACTGGGCTGCAGCTCGCATCCGCTCCGCTTGAGTCTCCGGGGTTTATCCGCAGGCACTCGGAAAAGGGAGACACACTGCTCGAGGAAAACAAGTTTTATCGACACACACATATATATAAAATAAATCGTAGCTCCGCTTGTGCTTCGTGACCTGTTGGACATAATGGTTTGCGGAAGATGGGAGCAATTTGCACGCAGGTAATACGGAGATCAAAGAGCTTCCGGCGTCGTAGCTACGTTTTGAATGAATTTAACGCGCTGGGGATTTAATGCTCTGGCGTGAGAAATGGAATGTAAACGTAACTGCTTTTTTGGGTGCTGCTGTAATGTCTGACTGTACCATATATATAAAAAAAAATACTTAAATACTTATTTGACGCTATACTGAATTTGATACAATTGTTTTTTTTTCTGGTCTGATAAGGGGTTTTAAAATACATGGACACCGGTAGTCTTATCACTTTGTCAATATTTGTACCTTAAACCTGTGGGAAGCAACGCCAAGATGAGTTTTTATTATAAGTCGAATATTACTCGCTATTGCTGTGTGTTTCACAAGTACGTTAATCTGGCTAACGATTTGCAAGTCTGGGTAATTTAAAACATTGCGCCGCTTCAGAACTTTAAGATTTTAGATTTAGTTCGTTTTTGTATTATTTTGAAAGACACCAGATGCATATTGTGCATTATTGGGACATTATGCTCAAATAAGCGGCGGTCCCTTTAACAAGAAGATGAACTCGTTTCAGTTGCGTGATTGGCTGTTTAGAACAGAGCTCGTGATGTGATTGGCCGGGGCGCTGTCACTTATTCTTCAGCGCCAGTGGGCGGGGCCAGTGTCGTCACTGGCCTGCAGCGGAGCAAGATGGCGGCGGCGATGATGATGCGTGTCTGCGGGACCTTCTCGTCCGGTTTGGGGTTCCGGTTTAGGGATTTGAGATCGTTCGTCAGTGCAGCTAAGGCTGTGAGTTGGTCTTTGCCAGATGAACGAATGTGTCTGCCTCTTTTCTATCAAGCAGGCTGTCTGCATCTAGCGCAGTGTACTGCTGCAATAGCAGTTTTTTAAAAAAAACTTTTGTTAAATGTGTAATCAACTGAATTATGGTTATTAAAACAGTGATGTCAACGCAGGCTGCACTGTGAAATGTCGGAGAAGTTTTATATGTATAAGTTTCTGCAAGTCCTGAATTAAATGTCACCAACGGTACGGAGCAAACAGCAAAAGCAAACAAGTGGATAAGTTAGTTCCGTCTCCTGATGTTGATTTTGTTCACCTGCTCACGGCTAGGGCACCCTTTTGTTAAGTTTTTTTTTTAAGTACAATCGACATTTTGGATATAACTGCAGAAATATAAAACACATATGTTTGACTATGTAGAGCTTACATTAGTAACAGAGGGAAATATAATTAAACACAATAAAACTAGTTGTCGTGATGCCTCCAAAGGCTTAAGTCCTTATGGTTGGGAAGGAAATGATATTGATGGTGTTGCAGGAATTTTCTTTCTGCGACTTTTCACTTAGTAAGGTACGCGTATTAATCAGTTGTTATATTTTTTTGGTTTTAAATCTCCGCTGGTTAAGTTTAGAATGTCAGTGTTCTGTAATTCCACACTAATCGTAAGGAGTTTAATTTTTGTCTCCAAGTAGAGTACAAGAAGTAACAGAGACAGCCCTGTTATGCATCTTCTGAAAGTATTTGACCCAGTTTAGAAAAAGAGCAGAGTTTCAGTTATTGGTGTGTTGTTCACTTAATAATGGCATCAGACTTTCTGATAATTAGAAATATAGCCTCAACTAATTGGGGCAATGCTATCTGACCTGACAAAACTGGTACCCCAGCTCAGCAAAGCCTTTCCCCTCAGCGGTGACATTGGGATAATGTGCTGTCTCTCAGTAAATCACCAGCTTCTGAGCTCCCACAGCTCCTATACAGCTGACTGGAGCCACCTGAGGTCACGGGTCAAAGGTCACGTGAATCTGGTGACGAGAAGCTTTTGCTTTTAATTTCATTGCTAAGCTGTTAGCTTCCTCAGCAAGTTTGTTTTGTTATTGTAACACCAGACCTCCTCTAGACTGGAGAGCAGAGACAATGACGTGAGTTGTCTTGTGCATCAGGCCGTTTTGTAGCAGTGCCCTCAAGCGAAGTACAAAGAGGAATGTAGAATCTGAATGTACTGGGGTCGCCGTAAACCTTGGGAACGATACTTCAGGCTTCTAGTAAATGGGTCTCGATGCACATATTCAGAATCCTCCCAGGAACCTTTATGGACCTCCTTGGAATCGGGAGTAAAAGACGAACCAAGGGACACAAGTGAAAAATGAAGAAGAAATGCGAACACACGTCTTCACACAAAGGGTTGTGGGCTCTGCAACAAGCTACCCAACATGTCATTGAAGCCAATGTCCTGGCTTCTTTCAAGATCCTTGAATCAATTAACGAGTCAGTTAGGGCTCTGTGTGTACTGAATGGCCTCCCCTTGTTTCTGACCTATGCGTGTGTTAGGAGAGCTCAGTTGCAATCACAGGGCAGTGAAGCTCTGGCAACTTGTGGTGTTGGCCTAGCAGTAGAGGGTGTCTCTTACCTGCTGTACTAACCAGGCTTCGTATCACTCAGCCTCACTAATCTGAAGCTCCCAGTCGGAGCCATCTTTCATCTTGACGTTGAAGTTTTTTCCCTGTTCTGAAAACAATTTTACTGAACACGCGCTGGCACTGCCCAAGGAAATATCAATTCCCATCATCTCCACGTGTGTTTGTGTGTCTCTCTCTCCTGTAGGCTGGCGTCTCCCCAGTGAAGTGTCTCCCAGAGAGGGTGAAGATTGTGGAAGTTGGTCCCAGGGATGGGCTTCAGAATGAGAAGGTACCACCACCGTGCAGCATTCAGTAGTCTGAACCTTGGCTTCCTGTCTGGATACTTTTACTTATAAGTTGTTATAAGAAGTAATCTGTTTCAGTCTGTTTGAGTGTTTGATTTTACCTTTATATTTATTGGTAGAAGAAGGTGGTTGCTCTAGGAATAAAACCAAAGCTGTTTCTTACCCTATGATTTTTTATTATATCTTAATGCTTCATTTGAATACACCGAGATACAGGTGGCAGCAATGGTTTTTGTGCATGAATGAAGATTCCAAACATGCCAAACATGCCTCAACTTTATTACAGTAGTTAAGATAGCATCACCGTCCAGCTTCTAATAATTTCTGCGCTTCAGCTCAAGAGTGCAAGAGGTGAACTGACAAAAACATCCTTGATTGGTTTGCCTGCCCTGTTTCTGCTAGACCATTGTCCCTGCTGAGGTGAAGATACGGCTGATTGACATGCTTTCAGAGGCGGGTCTTCCTGTCATTGAGGCAACTAGCTTTGTCTCCCCGAAGTGGGTCCCTCAGGTAAAGAACTTCTGTTCGTGCACCGAGAATCCCTTTAGCTCTTTACCTGAGCATTTATACGAAAGAACATAGTGGGAGAACGTGTTCTTGAAACTTGGCGAAGGTTGTTTAGTAATTATATCTGAAAGGGTATTGTTCCACCACACATATTCAAATCTAAATTTAGATTTAGCAGATTAAACTGCTGCTCCAGTTTTCTAATGAGGAGCCGCTGCTTTTTCTGTTTTGTAACACTACATAAATAAACCTTTCAGAATTAGGCAAAACTGAAGAAAGACGTTCAGCTTAGGTGTTTCTCTAGCATTGCCACAGTTTTCTGGGCTTTCCTGTGCAGAGCGGTTACCTGCCTTATAACCTTCTGACCTTTCTCTGTTTCGCTCTCTTTCTTCTTCGCTTCTTGTTCACAGATGGCTGACCAGATGGAGGTCATGCAGGGTATCCGCAAGCACCCGGGAGTTAGCTACCCTGTCCTCGCCCCCAACCTCAAGGGCTTCCAAGCTGCCGTGAGTCCAGGACCTCCTCTTCCTTTAAGGCTGAGCACTCGCTCTGCGTACCCCCTGCCGTCACGCGTTGGCCCTTTGTGTCTCATGCTTTGTGTCTGCGCTGAACGTTTGACCCTTGGCCTCTTCCCCGTCCATATACACTCTCAACTGTGCGATTTCAAAGTTCAGAAGATACATATGTGTGGTGTATCAGCTAGGTTTCTTGGTCCACTACTGGAAGGTCATGGGCTCAGATCCCAGCTGTTGCTGTTGTACCCCTGAGGAAGGTACTTCACTCCCATTGCTCTTTTGAAATGTCCAGCTGTGTAAATGTTTAGAGATTTGAATTGCTCCGGCTTAAAAAAGCATTAACCATTTTAATTAACATTAACATTGAGCTAGACGGGCTTGTCACCGGTCCTGTATTCCCTGTGTGTCAGGTGAGGCAGATGCTGCCAGAGGAGAGGCATGTGTTGTCTTCCTTTCCCATCCTCTGATCTTTGTCATGCTTTCTGTGCTGCCCCACAGGTGAAGGCAGATGCCAGAGAGGTGGCCATTTTCGGTGCCGCCTCAGAGCTCTTCAGCAAAAAAAACATCAACTGCTCCATTGAGGAGAGCCTGCAGCGCTTTGAGGAGGTCACAAGGGCGGCGCAAGAGGCTGGGGTGCTGGTCAGGGGGTAAGTGTGTGAAATCGAAAAGGACCCAGATAAGTTCTGCTCCTTTGAGAGTAAAGGCACTCAGAGGTGGTTTTTGAAGACTGCAGTTCAGAAGAGTCTTGTCTTCACCATTGTATTTGCCGAAGCAATGTTATCAGCTGAAATGCTTTAATTTTTTGCACTTTCTACTACTTGTTGTTCACACCAAACTGATCGTGGTTACACCACGCTGAAGATGGATGAGGGGGGAATGTGTCTTGTACTGCAGTTCTCTTCTTGGCCTTTCAGTGGTATGCACAGTTTGTTAAATTTCTAATGAACGTGGAGGGTACTGTTCCACGTGTGTTCCTTAAAAACGATCTGTGCGCTATCAGCGTTTGTTATTTCCAGCCTGTGCCGGTATAGCTTGATGGTGTGCATGTCTTTCCCACAGGTATGTGTCCTGTGTGCTCGGCTGCCCCTATGAAGGGAAGGTCAGCCCTGAGAAAGTAGCTCAGGTAAGTGCTTGGCGATTGTGTCTGACGCAGCAGTGATAAAGACAAACCCAAGGACCCCTTCAATTCAATTTTACTTCCTTGAAGCGTTTGGTCTGTTCTTGTTGTTTGGTGTAGTGGTGAAAAATGAGTGCCAGTTTATAGCCAAGGAGGCTATGAGGTTATAGGAGTGGCTGCATGGTGGAGTTTGATAGTTGTTTCATCTACAGCAGGAATGTGTCATCCATTAAGCCAGTACTGCACTGATCTAGTCCATGAAGAGATAAGTTGGGGTGAAAAATGTGCGGACTGTCTTCTGGCTCTCCAGGAGTGAGGTTGGACCATCACACAGCAAGGTGTTTGGTTCAGACGTTCAGTGTTGTTTTTTTTTGTGTGTGTGTAGACTTACCGATGCGGTTTTCTCTCTTTTGCGCAGGTGGCCAAGAGGATGTACTCCATGGGCTGCTATGAGATCTCTCTGGGTGACACTATCGGCGTGGGCACGCCTGGCAGCATGCGGGAGATGCTGTGCGCGGTGACCAAAGAGGTGCCCGTCGACGCCTTGGCGGTGCACTGCCACGACACCTACGGCCAAGCTCTCGCCAACATCCTCGTCGCGCTGCAGGTCGGCAAGAAATCGAACAGAATGCACCGCGCCGCCTCTCGAGCTGGCTGTGGTGGCCCATGATGCTGTGTAGAAAGTGGGTGTGTGTGCTGAACAAAAGGTGGCTCAAAACCTGTCTGGCAAAAATGTAAAACTGTGCCTCGCCCTCAGTAAAGGAATTGCTGAAGAGCGAACCGGTTACGCGCTGCTGCTTTCAGTTGTCTTGATATGCTGGTTCATCTAATTGGCTGCAGATGACCCAAGTCACCTCACCTCTACAAGCAGACGGATGATATGTCATTCTTGGAATGACCTCATCTACTCAAGAGGCGTTAACTAGGTGGTTTTCACATTCATTCCATGTCACAATTGAAACTGTGGGGCCACAGTCCCAACAGGTTTGATTGCTGTCCCTAAATTGCCAGTCACTTGTCGAACAAGTCGAGTAAGAATAAGACTAATGACTGAATCAGTAAATCAGGAAGTACCCAGGTCCATCACCTCTGTTCCAGATTGTTTGCTGCATTTTAAACTCTCAAGCCTGTGCCATTTGCAGTTGTTCCGTGGTGATTATTTCGTTGTGACGAGTGTCAGTGTCTGTGGAAGCACTGTGTCTGCCCATGTTCGCTGTGACCGTGACCCTGCCCCTGTCCTCTAGATGGGAGTGAGTGTGGTGGACTCGTCAGTGGCCGGGCTGGGGGGCTGTCCGTACGCTCAGGGGGCCTCCGGGAACGTGGCCACAGAGGATGTTGTCTACATGCTCCATGGCCTGGGGATCCAGACGGTGAGTCCGGCGCGCCCTCGTTCTCCCTCCTCTTTGTGCACGCCGATTAAAATGAACACGCAGGCAGGGAGTCGGTTACGAAGCATGTTGAGAGAACTTCATAACTGTGGGGCTGTGAGCTGTTGAAGTCGGCAACAGTTAGTCTGACTTCACTGGAAATTGCACTCTCCCGACTTGCACCTGTCTCTTCCCTTGAGTATCCCACTCCTATGACTCACTTTCTCTTTGACAGGGGGTGGACCTGCAAAAGCTGATGGATGCTGGGGCCTTCATCTGTCGCTCTCTCAACCGCAGGACCAGCTCCAAAGTGGCACAGGCCTTGTGCAAATTGTGAACCTCATCTCCCCCATGCCGCCAGGGGGCGCTGTTTGAGTTAGAGAGGACTCTTCGCACCTCTACACCCAGCCTTGGAACAGCTTTCGGAACCTAGTCCTTTACATGGGCAGCCTCAGTTCTGAATTCCTCCCCCCTTATCTGCTGTAGATTGTTTTATCCCCCAGGTCTGACAGGACAATGTGCTCACATGGACTATTGGAATAGTCTTCTATGTAGGGCCCTTTAGTTTTGAATTTTGCAGCACATGGATGAAATCCAGCAGGGTTTTCACACGTCTTTGACGGAAGGTTTTAGAATGGCATTAAACGCTACTCTATTATCAAGGTTAATGAAACATGATCGATTTAAATGGTATTATTTTGAACATGGCCTTTCTTAAACTTTCAGGTGAGGTATAACAATCTCTGCGTATCCATGTGGGAGCAGCTCGCTCGTGTGTGGGACTTTAGGGCTGAGGCTGTCCCTCAGGTGTGTCCACAGTCGGCACCCCTTCCAGTGACTTTCAGGAGCTGTGAGCTGCTGAATATCTGATTGGTTCTGAGATCAACAGGTCCCCCCAAACACCGAACTACTGAATGAAATCTGGTGGGATCTCAGCGTCTGTAAAACCAAGCAGAAAGCACTATTGTGCCGAAATGAAGATAACGTAAATTTACAGTATTCATGTGGCAGAAAAAAATAAGTAAAACAGGACTCACTCAAGGTTAGGTTCACTAAATGGTATGTGAAACTCAGTTTTCTTTGTAGATGTCTGGGCACAAACCACAGGTAAGATGTCCTCTTGAGAATGTAAGTGATTAACCTTACCTGTTGTTTCGACACTAAAAGACAGCGGTTGCTACAAATGGTCCCAGCAGAATCACCAGGGACTGGAGCTGCAGTGTGAAGCACGTATTGAAAAGTAATCGCGTGTCGTGATCTGAAACTTTATGCGTCGTTCTGTCAAGTCTGAAATGCAGACGTGGTCCGACAAACCTCCCAGAGCTCAGATCTTACTCTTGCAAATGTACTGTATGTGTGTCGGTGTACTGCAGTTAAGCTTTTGTGCTTCTTTAAATGAAAGCCCCGATAAATGGAGGAACTCTGTACCCTGGGCTTTGATCTTTTTAAATCAGAGTGGCTTAAACCGTCCATGAAGTGCTTGCTTTTTTACGCCTGATGTAATTCAGTAACAATGTAATATTTTTTGGACGTGATATGTATCGAAGTGCGTTTTTCTCTGTGGTTCAAAAGGGCGTGTGTAGTCTGGTCGCTCAAGCAGCTGTCTCATGGCTTTCTAGTTCCAGGGTTCGATTCAGCAGGACTGCCTTCTGTCTGGAATCTGCATGTTCTTCTTCTGCCAGCTTCTCCCACCTTCCAGAGACAATGGCTTGGTTAATTGGTCCCTGTCTGCTGGTGTGCATTTGCCCAGCATGGAATTGGCATCCATTCCAGCATTCCTCCTAATTTGAACCCTGTTCTTCAGGGACAGGCTCTGGGTTACCATGGCCCATACTGGGAATATTTGATCTTCTGAAATGGGCGATTCCAGTTGAATTTACTTGTTTTCTGTGTAATGTGTATCATGTGCCATCCTGTATTCCAGTGACAGTCCCGCAGCGTAGTGCAAAAGGGAATGAGTTTGTCTGCTCTCAGCACTCTCATGTATGTGTATACAGAGTTTTCTTTACATTTATTTATTGATTTTTAACCATGATTAAAATATTATAATAATTAATCTCGAGTTTGATTGTCAGTTGTCGCTTTTTGTGCAATCTGTTGATTTTGATGTGCTGATGACAGAGGGACAATTTTAAATAGTATAAAGTCCTGCACGGCAATGCTAATGAAAAAATAGAAGATTTGGGATTCCATCGCCAGGCAATATTGTTAATTCTGTTAATCAAGTACACAATCTATTGAATCGTGCAGAAAAGATCGGTAAGGTAATTATTATTTCAGCTTTTAAAAAAAAGTTTTTTTCCAGTGAATTGTTTGGCAAAACGTATTGTAATTGCTAAACAATCATGTTATTTATGTTTTCACTTGGCTTAAAAAATTGGGGTGGGGTGACGTTATGAATGTGCCAGACCAATCAATGCTTATACTGTAAATGAAACCACTAAAAGCAGATTGACGGGTATACACAGTACTAAGTTTAAGAACAAACCCGGAAGCTTGGAAATACACGTCGTCAAGGGCGCGGTTACCATGGAGGCTTCCTTGGACGTGACGTCAAAACAGTTTCGACCAATAGTAATGAGACTTTGGAGTCCCGTGACAACATCCAGACCTCCGCCTCCTTCCACGTCTCAGTCGAACAGGAAGTAGAAATATAGGTTCTTAAAGAAGCAGGTATATTCAAAGCTTCAAATACGATTTTAAAGTGAAGGTTATTGCTCCTTTTCCTGTGTTCCTTTTAAACGAACGCATCGTTCGCCAGCTGCGGTGGGACGGAGACACACTGTTACCTGAAAGACAGGGACGATAACCGGAGATTGAAGTAAAACGTAAGTATTGCGCGTTAAAATGGAAATGCATTTCCAATTAAATGAATGGATTTTCTCTTCTATGTCATGTGAATAAAATAGCTTTTAACGCCAATTAAATCTTTGGATGATGGATACAGATGTTTGAAACAATATGTTTCTGTGGAAAGCTCAACGAGGATGGAAAGGATTATTCACCTTTGCTCTTATTTTATGTTTCTGGTTATTCATCCCGTGTTAAATATACAGTTATTGTAGCTGATTTTCAAAAGGTACAGTGCATTTTTTGTTCGTGATTTTATTAATTGAGTGGCATCTGAGCAGTCAATGGTCGCCTTATTGTCGCTTTCAGTTCACTGAAATAATCGACACGTTTCGAACAGCTAATCGAGAAGTTGTGGAAACTTCAGCTACTTTTCTGATTCGTGTGACGAATTGCAAACATCGAGTGTAATCGATTTTTATCAAACCAAGTTGGAATCAGCTCGATCGATCATTTATTGAATCTTTCGTAAACAGATACGAGAGTTCTCAATCTTTCATTAACGATCTCTTATTTTAGAACTAATATGACCCAGACGCCTTTTAAGTCATCAGGATAGTTTTATTTTCTCAAAACTTTTTTTTCTTTTAACTGCCCATAAACTGATTTTATGAACAATAGAATTACTATCCCATAAGCCTGTTAAGAAACCAAATATTAAGTGACTTGCTACTTACAATTCTTTAAAAAATAAACATGATTAAAGCTTTTTCTGAAAATCATGTGGTGGCCATGAAGGAGGTTTGTTTATCTTAGAGATCTACTAGAATTGTATCCAGTGGTTTGTGGCACTAATATAAATTGTGAGGCTTTGGTACATTATGTTGTACCTTTTCCCATCTAGGACACAGGGAAGAAGGAGCAAGGCACTGTTCTCTGTTGAATTATCTCATGTGACAAAGGCTCATTCACAGCCTCTTCATTCACATTAGCACACAGCCCTTCACCTGGGATTCTTAGTGGTAAAAGCTGTTTGCTGTATTACAGAGAGAAGAGGAACAAGTAATAGGTTTATTCCATGCTGAAAAGAGAAGAAAGAAAACACTACGTTTCTGCCGTGGAGCCTTCTTCAGGGTTTTACATATACTGAATCTGGTAATTTGATTAATTCATTAAAGATCAATGCAAACCAAAGGGACAACATTTCTACAGGCTAATTAAATCTACCACCTTTAATGAGCTTACCTGGGGGGGACGGGCTTGGGGAGACATGACGTAGAAAGCAGACGTGTAAGCAGGGTGGTGTCACTCTGGACTGTGCGACGTCTCTGGCACTCCTTGTCAATCCCTGACAGCAAGTCAGGAGGCCACTTTCCTTCTCCCAGAATCCCCCAGGCTTGTGTCTTTCCCCTGATCCAATCAGAAGGCTCATTTAAGGGTGTGGGAAAGAGACCCATGTTTACTCTACTGTGATGTGTATTGACTGTGGGACACTTGAACAAAGGGAGGGGTTTACTCTTTTTTTTCCCCCTTTTTTCTGTTAAATTATACATTAGGTACTAAGGGATTTGAATGGCAGGCAAAGGAGTTTATAGATACCAAAAGCATATATAAAAAAACAGTGTCCATAGTTCACAAGAAGTCCTCAAAATGATGTGTAATTTAGGCTGAAGTCACCATTCAACACTCAGACTTTGTTTGCAGTCTCATCTGAAAGCCTGCCTTGTGTAATACTGTGGACAGACTTTAACAGGACGCTGGCTTTTACTAAGTGTGTGTTCTATAGATTGCACAAGTTGTGTTTGTTTTTTTTGCTGACAAATGCCTCTCAGTGCTGCTGCTGACTCGGTGTTTGCATGTGGTTTCCGGGAGCCATGTCCAGGCTGTACTGTGCACAGAACCTGAACGAAGTTTAATCCCGGAGGATTTCTTCCCAGAATACCTCATGCACACCCCTGCAGGCTGCCATCTCTATTTCCACACACACACACGCCCACTCCAGGCTCCACGTCCCACCGCGTTCCTGGGGATACTGACGCCCCCGCCGTGAACACAGCCCCCTTTGTGTTGGGGCAGTAAAGGGTCTCTTTCTTTTCTCCATCCTGCAATGGTTCTGCTTTTTTTCACACCCCCCCTTCTGTTTCCACTTCAAAATGCCAGATGGGGTTATATATTTAAAACTGATTTCAAATAACGATTATCTGTATTCTGTGTCGATATTGGTTGGTAAACAGTACATTAAGCCATTTTGTCCAGCCTGGATTGTCATTGCTGTAAGACTTGGCTGATTTTATTTTATTTGTTAAACCTTTTTCGTGCACTTGAGCCTGTTTTTTAAACTGGCCGTGAATCGGCGATGGATCCATGTGGTGATGACAATGAACAGTGCGAAACAGGCCTGCTGAGCTCTCAAAATGTGGAGACTGGGAGCAAAAAGTCTGCTAACATTTTTCACCTGACATTACCATGACTGTGTAAAGTGCTTTACTGTCTTCTTCCCCAAGGAGGTGTCGTCTCTATAAAGCTCAAGGGCTGGTGTGGCAGACAGTCGGGATGGGAGAGAAGGTGCTGGTGACTGGTGGAGGAGGGTATATTGGCAGCCACTGCGTGGTGGAGCTGATTGAAGCAGGTTTCTGCCCTGTAGTCATCGACAACTTCAGCAACACCATCCGAGGTAATGCCCTAATTCGACTGACCATCCATAGCTTTGCCAAAGGGCTGCTTTGCCAGTGGAACTGCTGAGACATCTGTTGCTCCCAATCCACATTGACCTTTTTGTCTGCCGTTCACAATCCTCATTTGCTTTCTGGGTCAATATTAACGTGCTGTGCTTTGTAGGTATGCACAGACTAACGTCATTTCCAATATGCTCCCTTGACATCTCAAAACAGCAGAAGTCATCAAAATGCATTTCCTTTCTATACGGGTTAAACGTTTTTTTAAGATGAGAAACATACTTTCATTATCCTGGCATCCGTAATATCATTTTGCATATAAGACAGAACGGAGGTTGTATTTTGAGAGTTGTGGTTGCTGATATCCATCCTGTGGTCCTGTTTGTGGAGGAGAGGGGGGTGTTCCGGAAAGCCTGCGCAGGATTGAGAAGATCCTGGACACTGCAATCGAATTCCATGAGCTGGACCTACTGGACCGGGCCGGGCTGGAGGAGGTCTTCAGGAAGGTATGAGGATCGATGCCGTCATCTGTCTGACTGTGAATGGCTCCAGTTTGTCTAGGTTGCTTACGCTGTCTTGGCTTTTTCTGTCTGCATGTTTGTTTACTGTAATTTGTGTACGGTTCTTGTCGCTCTTTCTTTCTGATTTTCTGGAATCTTAGGTTTTTAGCAATGCCATGTTCTGACCCGATTTCTCACTCGTATGTGACATCAGTATTTTGCTACGATTGCAGCACTTGTGACTGGAAGGGGGTAGGTCTTGACAGTCGTTTTGTTGGTTAACAACTTTTTTCTACTTTTGTGTATAATTGATCCTCTAATGACTATCAATATTCTGCACCTTCTGTTTCTTCAGCTGACTTTTAAAATGTCCTTTTCCTTCTGTGCGCCCCGTGTTGCATCTGCCTGCAGCCCAGTCTTTTGCCACTGTGCTCACACCTCCTTCTGTCTGTCCAGCACCGGTTCACAGCTGTGATACACTTTGCGGGTCTGAAGGCAGTTGGGGAGTCAGTGGAGCAACCTCTGCGGTACTACCGGGTCAACCTGACTGGAACCATCAACCTGCTCGAGGTCAGTCTGGGATCACAGCCCTCCAACACGGGGATGGACAGACACTCAGAATGGATTCATTAAACGGCAGTGCAGCACAGAAGAGCACTAGAAAGAGGCGTGCCATCAGTAATACAGGCTCAGAATGTGTCGTCTCTCTGATTTAGGCAATGCAAATTCAACATAACGGGCTAATTGTGCGTCCTTTGAAATTCTAGGTGTAACATGCTTTGTCTGTATTATTGTTTCTTTGGAGATGTAGGATTAGCGTCTGTCTGTCTTCGACGTTATTCTGATTCAGTGTGTTCTGTCTGTCCCTGCCAGACGATGCAGGCTCATGGCGTGCACAACATCGTGTTCAGCAGTTCGGCCACAGTGTACGGAGACCCCCAGCGGCTGCCCATCGATGAGAGCCACCCCGCAGGGGGCTGCACCAACCCCTACGGGAAGACCAAGTACTTCATCGAGGAGATGATCAAGGACCAGTGCGAGGCCGAGAAGGTAAAGGATGAATAGTACTCGGCCTGTATCAGTTTTTACTGAGCACTGCGATCAGTGCCTTCAAGCAGAGAAGTGAGAGGTAGGGTGTGTTCCCGGTGTCTTTTGCTGGAGTGGATTAATAGTGTCTGAATAGTGGGTTTAATGGTCTGTGTGCACTAAAACAAGTAGAGCAGATCATAACAATTCTGAAATATTCCGTCGCACGTATAGGGAAGCACAGTGAAATGATGGATAAAACATAGACTGCTATGAGGAAGTGTGATATAAGCCCTGGGAAAATATAGCAGAGTAAAAAATAATACAATATAAATAAATCATGGTCATACTAAAAGATACTGACCAAATCTACAATGGTAAACTTTCATATTGGTAAGAACATACCATAGTTTGAACAGTGTGTTTCAGTACTGTTGTCAGAATCTCTAGGTATCGGTGCTGTGAGCAGTATTTTTATAGTCCTCATTGGTGTCTCAGTGCTGTGCTGTGTGAGTTGTGTGTTCAGTATTAACAGAGCTGTGGTGCCAGTGTGCTCAGTGCTTCTGTGTTGTGGGTCACTCCGACAGGACTGGAATGCAGTTCTCCTGCGTTATTTCAACCCCATTGGGGCTCACAGCTCAGGACAGATTGGAGAGGATCCCCAGGGCATTCCCAACAACCTTCTGCCCTATGTTGCCCAGGTAACTAGTAGTCTTATTGTCACCTGCCAATCACACACACACAGTATCCATGTACCTCTTACATACAGCACAGCAGAAAATAGGGAGTGTCTGAATGCACTAACTCTCCTGGTTTTTTTAAATGTTTTAAGATATCTTATGATTTTCATGTATTGAAACACGATTAAAAAGATTTATAAGAAACGAATTTAATAATGGAAATAAGATGACTAAAACCCATATGGAGCATCACCATCAGTCTCAAAAGTTTGTGGTTTCATTTTCCAAATTTTTTAATGTATTGAACTTCATGGCTTGTAGTTTCAGTACAGCTTTTTTACTTGTCAGCCACTGCACCAGTTCAGAGTTTATCCTTCGCAATATGTAGCCAACGTGCTGCGAACTGACTCCCAGGTTTCGCCACCCATGATGCTCTTTTCTCTCAGGTGGCGATCGGACGACGAGAGCACCTGAATGTGTTTGGGAATGACTACAGCACACCCGACGGCACAGGTAGGGATCTGTCCTCTTGAGCTGGACAAGTCCTTCCACTGTGTAGTACAATGTCCTGTATCTCAACCAACAAACCTCTTCTCTGCAACCTGATGCCTATTTGCATCAGCGCTGGGATGCAACAGTCCAAGAGTCATGCATGTGGCAAGGCTGGAGGCGTACAAAGCTGAACCACTGTACCTTTCAGCCCTTCCTCTCCTGGCAGTGACATGGACACTCACATTAACACACAATGGGTGGAGGCCATGTGCTTTGTCTTGCAGCTCCATTGCTTTGCTCAAGGCATGGTTATGTAATACTCGACTTTATGACCTAATCATTATTACATTCTCCCCCTCTCTCTTCTTGTCCAGGAGTGAGAGATTACATTCACGTTGTGGACCTGGCAAAGGGCCACATTGCTGCTCTCCGGAAACTCAAGGAGAACTGCGGCTGTAAGGTACTGACCCATGCCAGTCTGCTGTGTTCACTTCTGTTCTCCACTTGCTCACTCTCCCTTCTGCAGGATACCTCATGACACCTCTGCCTCCTGTACCTCAGTTGAGCTGGTTTTCATTCTTTATCTCACCACCCCAGTTATTTCTCTCCTCTACTCTGCTGGTTAATTACCATTATCTGCATGCTGCGTTCTTGTCTGCCGTTTCTCCGACTCTGCACATTGAGTTCGTAGATTTCCTCCTGCAGTCCTCCAGTCCACCTTCTCCCTTACACTCTGTAGATGTTTTGTTATCAGACACAGGGAGATGTGGATGTTCTGTTCTTCTCTGTCTGCAGATTTATAACCTGGGCACTGGCACAGGCTACTCTGTGCTGCAAATGGTGAAAGCCATGGAGAAAGCATCAGGGAGAGAGGTGAGTCTGTCTCCCCCTACTGGTTATGTTTTGCACCAGCATGACTGCACATGCTGTAGTAGGTGGTCATACTACACTGTGATAAGCTGCTAGGATCTTTCAGTTCCCGAGATAGAAACCTTGATGGCTTCATTATTAAAACAAAACTGAATTGCATGGACCTTAAGTGGAGTCAAGAGAAACTTTGTATCATATATCCGTAGCAGAGGAGGCTTTTTTTTTCAGTCAAACCCAGGTATCAATATGAAACCTGCGATTTCATGCCAGCAGATTAGCTTGGCTACTGTTAGATAAAACTAAAATGCTGGAATTATGTCCTGCTTAATGTCACTGGAGTAAAGATACAGATTCATGGACATCACTCAATTGACTTTATTATAAGAGCTGAAGCTGGAGCTCATGTGTTTTCTGTAGAGCTTGTGTGTTCCCCATGATCATGTGGGTTGTAGGAGGTTTTCTTCCCATCTCGCAAAGACATGCTGACTAGGTGTCTTTGAATTGTGCCAGTGTGCACCCTACTTTGTGCGTATTGTGCGTATTGCCCTACTTTGCACCATATTCTCTGGGATTGGCTTTGGGTAGCCATCGGAAAACATTTTACAGCAAAATGTATACATTGTATAAGTGTCATTAAAACAAAAATAATAATATAGTAACCAGCTGCTCTCATGTGACCTAAACAGGATGTTTCAAAGGAAACCTATAATTGTATGCTGTGCTGAGCATATTTCTAGGTATACAGATATGTAGAGGAATGAGCTTGGTATATGGTGACAGAAGAGGCCTTGCGGCATTTTATGTGCAGTGTTGTGGTGATCGAACGAGCTGTGTCACCTTCCAAAGCAAACATCTCTGAGGCGGCCTGCTGCTGCGGTTGTGTTATGGTGATGTCTGCATGTCTGTGGCAGATCCAGTACAAGATTGCCCCGAGGCGTAATGGTGACATCGCCTCGTGTTACGCCGACCCCCAGCTGGCGGAGAAAGAGCTAGGCTGGAAAGCCAGCTTCGGGCTGGAGAAGATGTGTGAGTATATCTGGGCTCTGTGTCCCCTGAGGAGGCTGTGTCCGTGCTCTGCGGTTGCATGAACCGTAGCTGGTTCCAGATTGAATCAGGCCCATTTTTTTTTAAACAGTCAGGATCAGCAGCGGTTTTCTCTTTTAACATGGCTCACTGTTTTGACCTTTGTACCTCTAGCTGGTTGAGCCAGAATTCTAGTAGTTTAAGACAGTTTAACTGTCTTTTATAGAAGTCTGAAATGTGTGAAAAACTGAAGGGAGTAGCACAGATCAGAATGCTGTGTTTTTCATACAGTCAGTAAAAGTTTTGACCTCCCCCTCTCAGAAAGCACTGATGTGACATTTGCTTTTTTTGTGGCAAATTCAATATGAATGCATTTCTGCAAATATATCACTTCGGGAAAGTAAGGTCCGTGTGTGGTGTGAACTGTGTATCTCTGCGTTGTTATGGCACTCAGGGCAAACAAAGGTGTGAACCGAAAGTGTTCAGTGGAAGTGTGAGGCATGTTTCTGGGTAGTTGAATAGTGAGAGTTGGGAGGACTGTCCTGCTGGCAAAGACTGACAAAGAAAATCTTTTTTCTCCCCCCATCTCTCTCTCTCTAGGTGAGGACTTGTGGCGCTGGCAATCCCAGAATCCGACTGGCTTCAGCCAAGGTGCAGAATCCTAACCCTGGGACCTCACTTCTGACCTCATCAACAGCCAATCAGGATGCCCACAGGGAACAATAGCTGAGAGCTCTCAGAATACAACAAGGGACAAAGACTAATCAATCAGTTTCTAATTTTATAGATCTATGAACTTGAAATCCTTGATAAGAAAACACATTTTTATCTTGTTTTCAGCTATATTTAAAGCAACTGCTTGGCTGCTATGACACAGTCTGCTTACAAAAAATCCTTTTTTGCGCCTGTAAACAAGCAGGACTTGACTTACTGCACTACTGATTGCATCCTTATGACCACAAGGTGAATTAGACATAAATGGTCTCATTTTCTAAATTAAAGTTTATGTACTAAATGCTCATAGTAATTCTTTGAAACCTCTGGTGTGTGGGTGTAAAGTTAATAATATATTATATATGGCTAATATTCCCAGACTGAATAGTAGAGCCAGTGCCCATTCGTTCCCTATACAGACTGGGAGTGCCTAGCCTTAGACAACAGTTCAGTTTCATGCACAGGCCATGAGATGGCAGCAAAGTAGAACTGGAATAGGTGCTGCTCTCTCAGTATTGATAAACAACCTAGGGGCTGTAGTCATTGATGTGTACAGCAGGGCTTCATAACATTGGTTTCTGCCAAATTCCCATCCATCTGATTTGTCAATTGATTGAACTCAGAATCTGCTTAGTAAGATTAGTAAGCTTCATGTAATATTCACCTACTAAAAGTTTGCTTGTTATTCATGCTATTTAACAGTTGTTTTGGAACGTCTGCCAGCTAAGGAGTGAACATTAGGGCAGGGAGTAGTGCTAGAAACAGTTCATCACCCAGTGATCCATTCAATGGAGTGATGGAGATTGCAGCTGTTAATCCAGTATCCAGATAGATACTGGGTTCATGAAGACCTGGCTTGTAGTGTCATGATTCACACTCGGGATCTGAAGCTACAAAAAAAAGCACACCTTCTTTGCAAGTATCTCTGTTTGTAGGATAAATTGGCGTAAGTACTTTTTTTTTTACATTACTATTCAAGTGCAGCAAGAAGTTAATCCTCTATATGACTGAAAGACTTTGATTGACATTGGTTACATAGTAGAGTCATTTCTTTAAGAGATGTGACGGTGAGTCAGAGAAAGCCAGCCAGCCAGACATGAAACCAAAATGGGTGGGAGTGTAACACAAGATGAATCAAACAGAGATTAAATGGGATTTCATATCGGCTGTGTACATGTTCCATTTTTAAGGGAGTAAGAAATAAAGAGAAAGCGTTTAACAGTCAAACCAGAAATCAGACGGTTCACACGTACTCTTAACAGGTTTCACAGCACTGCTGCAGTCATAGTAAGGAACCCTGCCTCTCACAAATTGTACCATAATATGTCATGTCATGTCATTTGCCAAACCGCCTTTATACCATACGGTGTTGCGGGAAGCCGGAGCCTACCTGCCAGCAACGAGCGCAAGGCAGGGTACACGCTGGACAGTGCACCACTTGTACCATAATATACAATAAATAAAATGGTAAGATTCCCAGGTACGCTATTACATAGATAAAAACATAAGCAATGTCAGTAATATTGCGGGGAGGGACTAGTGCACTGACCAGGTTAAGTAACTCTCAAGCTTGAGCTACTGCAGTAGTCTCAGTGAAGACGTGGTCCTGTGACCTTACTACATGAAAACATTAGTTTCCAACGAGCCGGGGAATCAATGGGACCACATCCCAGAAACCAGGTATACGGTGTGAACAGTTTTAGTTTTCAACATCTAATGGATGCAGTAATATACTATTTGGCTTTAAAATACTGTATTTACTTTAGCACTAGTACAGCACCTTTCCGTCTCGGTTTCGTAATGTAAAAAAAAACAGAACACTACTACTACAGCAGAAATTTCAACAAACAGGCACCTCAGAAAAGAGGAACGTACTTCTAGGTTTGTGGCTTTCCAGTCCTAAAAAGAGATGCTTTTGAGGTGAAAAGAAGTCCACTGTCTAATGCTGTGTCGGCAAAAAAACAACTGGCAAACATCTTGGTCACTTACCTTAGATACTTATACACTTACCAGCACATCTTAGGAACCCCCACTGAACCATGTCGGGCCACAGCAGGAAGCCAGGATCGCCTCCAGTAGGGGGGCATGTGTGACTGAACCGCATGTTCCACTGGAGTATATCGATAAGACTAGAAAGTGTTGGCAATGGGAGATGCTGGAATTCTGTCTGAAGCTCTCTGACAGAGCTGCTGCAGAGAAAGTCTATTTGTTTTACTGAGGCTCTCAATAGTTTGACCACGGAGTATGCAACAGCTGAAATGCATGACAAAAAAAAAACTAGAGCATTTGGACCAGCTCCACTTTCCCTGGTGCTGCTCTAAAAATAATAAGAGAGCCAAGTAGTTACCTTTTGGCAGAAATACAATAAATCTCCTCTTAATAAATCATATTTATTTTCTTAAAGGACACAAGTTTCTGCCTTGTTTTGCCGATTACTTCTGCTCTAAATGAAGCGACACTCCAGATGTTTGCTTCTGCCGTGTGCGGTAACCTGCTTGTTACCCTGTTTTCACTGTGGATGCAGGTTTTTTTCCATGGAATCATATGATAGAATTTACTTTGTCTATGGCAAACTACTGATATTAGATGACACCTTGTAAACAAAACTAGAAAGAGTGAAGTTGAAGTTACAGTTCCATGTCTTCCTACCTTTCTTCAAGCCAGATTTCCACATAATGCCATTTCAAAGTCACACTGGTTCTGTGGTTGGGCAGAAAGCATCTTTAGGTAGAGACTAAATACATGCCAATGCAAGATGACAAGATGGCACTTTTATAGTCTTCTGTAAAAGTTCTCTTCCTGACCTAGATAAGGGTTAGGAATCCCTAGCTCTTCTGTTCTGTGGCATTACATGACTGAACTGATCCGTAATTACTTTCACCATGCTGCTGAAGATGAATTATTCAAGAACTGATCAATTATTCAGTTATTAAGGTTTAGCGGGACCAGAGACTTGCAATGGAATTGAACACCCAAGGCTGCTGAACCTTGACTGACACACTTAATGTGTGATATTAGAACCTGTTCTACCTACTGATTATGATGCTTGCCCCATGCCAGCTGTGCAGACAGTTCTAACATCAGACAGCATTAAATCATGCACAGCTGTAAGTGCATTACATCATTTCTCCAAAGAAGTCTGAACTGAAAAATCCCAGAGGAGTCGCTTGCTCTTATGTGGTCTGTAATCTTGTCTCATGAATTAAAGCAAATGCTATAGGATACAGTGTCAAAACATGCATGTTGTGCCATTTGGAAAAATTATTCTGAATGACTGCTGATGTTTGGTCTTTTGTAGTCTTTAGGAAGGTATTACGTAAAGTCCATTGTGCAGCTTTAAAGACATCATTTTTGCTTTTGTTTGTTAATGAGGACAGTATTTGAAAAATACAGTCTTAATTGTATTACCGTTCATGTGGAATTACAGAGTACTGTGCCCACATTTCAAACACATCCCTCATTGACCTGTCAGAGTGAATTACTCATAAAACGAGATCTAAACAAGAAACAGCTCCTTCTCCCTCCTCACCCGCACTCTGCTCACACACAGACACCCACTTGCACACAGACTCACTTCCTTCTAGTTGTGCTGTAAATATATATAGTAAGTGAACATCTGGAGAGACGAGCGCTGAAAGGCCAAGCTTTTCTGCCAGTTTGTGTTCACTAACGGAAAGGCGGGACAGTCACGCATCAGCTGTCTGGCTGAACTGTGAGGAGTGTATATCTCTGTCTTGGTCTAGGGACTGGTGTTACACCACAGCGTATCGAGCATGATGAGAGACAGATCACAGACATGTAAACACATCAATGCAGACAATTTCAGACACCCAAACAAGTATCGTGGTTGTCTGTCTTTCATGTCTGGGTAATCCCCATTGTCTGCACATTTTTAATTTGCATTTACTCTAGAATAATGTGCACCCCTGGATGCATTAGGAATTCATTTGCTTTGAATCCTTACATCTGCATAAATAATCCCTAACTTTAACCTTTCTCACTTCAATCCCAACCCCAGCATAAATAACAATCCCTTATAAACCTAGTGTCAAAAATATTGAGAACACCATATCAAATGAACAGATCCTATATAGCAAGCAATGTACAGTTGGCTTGAAGACAGATTCCTATCCAGAACAAACCCGATTTCAATCCTGTTTAAAACCTGTGGATCCATGTGTTGCACATTTCAGTTACATACAGCATCCTGCAGGAAAGAGTGGACAGGATTGTCCATCACAGCCTCTGTCTGGCCCAAGCCCAAGGTGTGAGCAGAGGGCCTCCGACAGGTCACCTTGCTCTAAGGCCAGCAGCATGGAGTCTCACTATCCTGTCACTGATGCGGGCATTATGTCTGCTGGCAGTTTCAGCAGCAGTACGGGTGGCAGATCTGAAACTATGTCTCAGATGGACCAGTCTGATGCGTCGGTCCTGCTCTGGTGTGGTCATTCGAGGGTGACCGGATCTTGGACGGTCATCTGTCCTGCTGGTCTGCTGAAACCTTCTGTGCAGTCGGGACACAGTGGAGCTGCTTACTCCATAGTTTCTGGCAACGCTGGCACATGACATGCCTGCCTGCAGCATGCCAATGGCCCTCTCCCTTGTTTCTGGTGACATTATGGCATTATGGAATGCACACAAAACTGACTAAGGGTGGCCTTTTTCTTGCAGTGACCTCAACTTTGAATTAAGGTCTTTTTAAAGGTAACCTGATCAGGCATTGGTCCATCTGGACCCCGTTGGGTAATAGTGCACCTAACAAGCTTTTGTGTGATTGGCAAGTTGCAATGCCTCACTGCACAAGCTATATTGCTGGTCAGAGGACTTAAAACAAATTGACAACTTTTTTGTGAAAGTAGATAAGCTATAACTATAGTATTCTCATTCCAGAAAATGTTGCATTTCTTTTTTCCCATCAGTATATATGTCATGTGTTGTTCAAGCTGTTCCAGTTATTTGAAGAGGTTCAATACACCAAGAGATGGGTGTTCCTAATATAACCAGTGGAGCTGCATTTTATTCCAGAACAGAACACATTCTGGTGCTCTTCTTCAGCTCACCCAGAATTCATTCATGGTGCAAGAATCTGTAGCTCATAGTGAGTGAATTCAGGCTCTCAGGAGGAGCTCAAGCAGAGTTAACTCATGTGCCATAGACCAGACTGACTTGAGAGGTGCTCCGATGTCTGCAGGTGCCAAGTTGCACAATGGCCTTTGACGTCTGAAACAGCCTGAAGAGCTCTGCTTCAACAGAGCCAAACTGTGAAATATTCAATCTATACTGTGGCAAAACTTAAAAACCAGAGCAACACATTAGTTGTATGTTTTAACCACAGCAGGGGATTATCTCCCCAATAATCATTACATCACCTCAGACTTTTATTACTGGTAATTAATAGCTTTGCTTCATTAAAATTCTGAGATTTAAAATTCTACAAATAAGGACAGTGCATCCTATTATCTTAAAAGTGTTGATTAAAATAAATCACATGATGAGAATAACACCTCTCTCCACTGCTGATGTTGATTACACGTATAAGGATTTGTGTTAGACTTAGCACCTCCAGGTGCGATCGGGGTGAAAGTGTACTGAAACAGAATTTCCTAATAGTTTTTAAAGTTTCTTGTAACTATTTTAACCACCTGTCTTCTGATCTAAACAGCTGACCCCATTTTACCATTTCATCCTGATTCTGCCTATAAAGCACTGAAATGACTCACCTGTGGCAGCTTAATCGATGATGGGGTGTCGACCAATGGTCGTCCTTGGGGCAGCAATAGTGCGATTTCGAGTTTCAGGGGCTTCTATCTCAGACACAAAAATAATACAATACACATCAGTCGGGCTCCAATTATGCTGTAAATTGGTGACAATGACAAACCTTATTTCTCGCCAACAGCCCATCCCTAACAGCTAATGTGAAGTGTGTACAGTATGCAGTATTACCAATAGCCCACTGTGCCCAAATCCCCAAACCCTGCAACGAGCAGACATGTCAGATGTGCAAAGCCACAGATCTGTGCTTCCAGAGCTCCTACTTATTTTTTGTCTTTGACTGGTCGATTATTAAAAATCCCTTCTGCAAATATTTACTTCTACCACATAAAGTGTGGTCAACTAGTGGGAGGTAGCAACTCCTCACCAAAAAAAAAAAAGCGCTTTTAAGGCACAGCAAGACAGAAACCACATCCTTTCGGCGCACGTTTCGTATAAATACACACGCGTGAGAGGAGGGAAAGGAAGAAAGAGAAGAGACGGTGGAGAAAAAGAGAAGCGGTTGTTTGTTCCTCAGCTCAAGACAGGAAGATCAGGCGAGCCGATGACGACGAAGGCAGCACTTCACCTGCGCACCAGTGGGGAGGAGGCAGGCCAGGCGCACTTCAGGGTAAGCCACGAAGCAGAAGCCGGCTCGGGCAGCAGGGTGCAGTGGTGGAGCTGTGGCACAGCCACAAGTCCCATTAACCAGAAGGCAAACCTCAGGCCAGCACACAGCTTTGTGAGAGCTTGATTATTACATCTTTATTCTCCACAGCAGGTGCAATTCTTAATCTGATTTTTTTATAAATATGTAGCTGTAGAACTAAGTATTCAAACCCTGCTATTTACTCTATCACTTGTAAGAAATACGGTAAATACAGAAGGAATATAATGTAGAATCCACGTATTTATGACTTATTATTTATTAATGCTGTGGGGTGCAGAGATTAGGCAGCGAGACTTTGGCCTGTGGCTATATACACACATAGCGAAAAAGAAAGACAGAAGACAGTATGTGATGCATAAAGGTTTAAATATTTAAATGTGTTTTTCCAAATAAAATCTTTTTCTGCTGTGTGAAAATAATGAGTAAGCAGTGCAGTTTTGGCTTGTTTTCCAAAACATTTTGACAAACTCTACCTTCGGACATTCTTAAACATTAAATATAGAAGCATGTTCTATGGGAATTACATTTTTATTTCACTACAAACAACACACAACTGTCGTAAAGCCCTGTTATATAGCAGTAACCTGCTGTTAAACTGTGCTCGGCTTTAAATTAAATTATTTTGGTTTTTCAGGATGTTTTTTTATATAACTTATATTCACTTGTATTTTTATTAAGCATGTCAAAGCTCATGAGTTCAATATGCTGCTCACCTTGATGCTTAATGGCTAAGGTAATATTCAACTTGGAGAATTTTCTGAACTTTACTTAAGAAAACAGAACCAAACCCATTTTTTACTTATCCCATTAGGAAAATGTCTTTCCAGCTGACAACGTAGAAGGATTTTTTTCATTATTATTTTACTATAGTCTTGAATATTTGTGTTTGAGACTAACACTGCATACAGATGCAAATACAGTGATATAGGGATCCAGAGGGAGAATCCTCTAATATCCCATAGTTTCGCAGAAGCAAAGCACCATTATCATCACTGGGTACTGCCCAGCCAGGCATAATCCAGCCTCCCACTAAGAAGAAACATCTTTCCGGACGGGTTTGTGAGGGGCTGTTCATTCACTGCTTTCCCTTGTGGCACTCAGAGTGTTTGAGCCTTCACGACAGCGGTGCTCATTTTGAGTGTCAGTAACACAGCAGAATTACTGAATGAGATCATGGTTATAATGAGAAGTGGGAGAAAGTGAAGATGACTGCTCCACGGCTGCTATGCCATTTGTTCCTCTAAACTTACAATTCAATCCCCCCTGTAATAGGCTTTGTGGTTTTTTTAGCGTGAGGTTAAAGATACTAAACAAGAACACAACGTACCCTTTCTCCCTTCCTGCCACTGGAGGCACATCCTACAAGCTTTAACCCCCAGGATAAGATCAGACAGAGGCTCTGCACAGCAAGGGCTTGACCACATCAGCACTTTCAGCCTCCCTGCCAGCAGCATGGAGCTGGGGATTCGAGAGCATCATGTGAACAGTGCTGAGACAGGGCAGGACCCTGCCATGCAGGGGCAGGGAACAACATTTAAGGATTTTAATCAAAAGAACAAATCAAAAGCATAAGTAAAAACCTGCAGTCACATGTTCTGCTCTCTTGATCTCACCTGTATCACCTCGAATGCATTCTCTCTCTTTTTTCCTGTTTGCATGCCTTCAGTTTGACCAGGCGAGGCAAACCGAGAACCAATTCTCATTCACAACGATGACCCTTTAAGAACAGAAAATCAATGTTATTAGAAGGACAGGTGAACACCACCAAAAAGCACTAAATCACCACTTCCATTTCTGATTTTGCAGCTGAAGACCGTGATGAAGAACAACAGCGAGTGGCTGGCGTCTGACACCTTTGAGATGAGTCCTGGCCTTACCCCCTGTGAGGTGTACGACCCTGTGACATATGTACTAGTGCCAGTGGTCTATGCCCTGGTTTTTGTTCTGGGGTTGCTGGGCAACATCACGGCACTGGTGGTGTTCTGTAGAAATGGGAAACGGCTAAAGAAAGCTGTGCGCATCTTCCTGATCAACCTGACGGCTGCCGACGTCATGTTCAACATCACCCTGCCGTTCTGGGTGTCGTACTACTCCAGGGGAGGGGACTGGCGTTTCGGGGACATCAGCTGCAGACTGGCTGGTTCCCTCTACTATGTGTCCACCTACTGTACCATCTCCTTCATGACTTTCATCAGCGTCAATCGCTACTGCATCCTTAGGAAAAGCCAGCCCAAGAGGCCCATTCTCCGGAAGAGAGGAGCATCTCTGGTTTGTATTCTCACATGGGCCTTCTGGCTGGGCTGTGCTGTGCCCAGCCTGGTGACCAAACAAAGCTCCTCTGCTCAAGCTGGGAAGACCAAGTGCTTTGAGGCCTTCTCTGAGAGCACAGCCTACTCCCTGGCGGCCTGCATTTTCTTCACTGGCTGCTTCATTGTAGTCGCCACCTCCTGCCTCTCCATCATCAGGTCCCTGAGAGACCGTCAAACCACGCATGGCGCCCACCGGCAGACGGCCAAAGCCATGATTCTGGCAATGCTCCTGGTCTTCGTGGTGTGTGTGGCACCATTTCATATCACCTTAAGCATATGGTCCCTGAATCGGACGCCTGGGAATCTCTGCGAGTTTCCATCTACTCTGAACATCTTGCACCGGCTCCACACTGCCCTCCTGAGTATCAACAGCTGCATCGACCCCTTCATCTACTGCTTCTCTGTACGCAACTTCCGCCAGGAGCTGAGACAGCTGTGGCAGGGACTAGGGCGGGCTCTCCTGCCCTCCTCCTCAGCTTCCCAAGACATTGCCAGCAGCTGCAAACCTCCTAAGGCCAGGCAGCGGTACGTGCTCCCTAGCAGATCAGCCACCAGCAGCAGTAGTTGCTCTTAGAGCTGCTCTTCTCAACCTATAGTCCCCAGGACTTCACAGGTCTGCTTAAATAAACTAAGGGTGTCTCCAGAGAGGCCTAGAAATGTTTCACCTGACCCCAATGGCGTGTGCAAATCTACTGTATGTTCCATAACCCACAGCTTTGGGCTTTATTGCCACTTGTTAGCATTATAAATAAAGAGCATTACATTACTAGAGGTTCACCTGGGCGCTAGTTTAAATTGTTAAGCAAAACATAGCAGTATGTTACAAAAGCGAGGTTAATTCGAGCAAGTACAGCTATGGATGTCATATCTTAAGACACTTGCAAGCTGTCTGGCTCCAGTCCCTCACAAACACTGTGCCACGTGGGCCAGCAAAGATGGAGAAGGACTGCAACACTCTCTTCCGTTGCACAAGAATCCCAGCTCAGGGGCTTCCCAAGCAGACGCCCAGAGGAGACACAGAGGAGGTGCTCTCACCTCCACAATCTATGCGATGCCTATTCTGGCACAAGTGCCACTTTTTAAACTGATATCTGCGAGGTACAGATGCCAGGGTAGCAGAGTGGAGCCTGAACGAGTGTAATTATTTCTGCTTTGTTACAGAATCAACCATCATGAAAGCACGTTGACTCAAGCTTCTGTGCTTTCTGTGGACTAATTAATAAAGCGTGGTGTATTATTTTTCAGCAAATAAAGAAAAAGAGGTGAAGGTTTTTGCCCTTTATGGTTGGTTGGAGTTCAACTGCAAAGCTTAAACTTTTAACTTTGGGCTGTGATTTTACTGATTCAAAAGGACAACCTGAACATTTTCATGAATGAGTTCTTGTAAGTAGCATGCCTGCATCATACTGTGTAGTGCACAAAATCTTGTTATACATATCTTACGTACAGTGTATTATATCATTTTTATTTTTTATTTTTTTTTAAATATAGACAGGAAAGCTAGCAAAAAGGGAGGAAATAAATAGTTTGGCTTTCAAAACTTTTTGAGCCAATTCTGAACTCAAACACATCCACAGCACAGTAATTTTTGCTTCCATAAGTGTAAATAAAATATAACTTTCTAAATAAAATAGCTAAGGAAGCTGGCAAGTGAACACTGTTTAATAACAGGAGCACAATATTAGAATATTTTAGTGTGAAGAAAAGCAGTAAAGAAAACAGAGTGAAGCAATGGCCTGTTGTAAAATATGTAAACTCTTCTGCTTGTCATTTTAATGAATAAAAAGTGTTGTTTATAAAACTGGCTATGGGTCTCCTTTCTCGCCCCTTCTCTCTTTTAATTTCTGCATTAGAAAACTGAAAATAAAGTGCCGTAAAAAAGTATCTGCCCCCTGATTTCCTTTATTATTGTATATTTGTCACACTGGATGTTTTCAGATCTTTAGAGAAAATCTAATATAAGATAAAGGGAACCTGAGTGAACAAATAGGACTTTTTAAATTATGATTTCATTTATTTAATAAACAAAGTTTTCCAACACCCATATCCCCTGTGTGAAAAAGTAATTGCCATTACTTAACAACTCAATAACTTAATAACTGGTTGCGCCACCATTAACTGCAATGACTGCAACTAAACACTTCCTATAATTCAATATCAGTCTTTCAGATCACTATGGAGGAAATTTAGATCACTCTTCTTTACAGAACTGCTTTAATTCAGAAACACTGATAGGTTTTTGAGCATGAACTGCTCGTTTCAGGCCCTGCTACAGCATCCCTGTTGGCTTTAGGTCTGGACTTTGACTAGGCCACTCCAAAACTTTAATTTTGCTTCTTTTTAGCCATTCTGATGTGGACTTGCTTTTGTGTTTTGGATCCTTATCTTGCTGCATGACCCAACTACGCTTCAGCTTCAGGTCACGGATGGATGACTGGACATTCTCCTTAAGAATTTTCTGATACAGAGCAGAATTCATGGTTCTTTTAATTATGGCAAGTCGTCCAGCAATCTGGGGTAGCAAAGCCTATCGCCACCATGTTTGACTGTGGGAATGATGACAACATATGTAATGGGACCCATATCGTCCAAAAAGTTTCAGTTTTGACTAATCTGTCCATAGGACATTCTGCCAAAAGGCTTGGGGATCATCCACGTGCTTCTTGGTAAATGAGAGATGAGCATTTATGTTCTTCTTGGTTAGCAGTGGTTTCTGCCTTGCCACTCTCCCATGAAGCCCATTTTTGCCCCGTCTCTTTCTGGCTGTGGAGTCATGAACACTGCCCTTAGCTGAGGCAAGAGAAGCATGCAGTTCTTTGGATGTTTTTTTAGGATCCTTTGTGATCCTGGATGATTTTTATGCTGCGCCCTTGGAGAAATTTTGGCAGGCTGGCTGGCCACTCCTGGGAAGACTCACTACTGTTCCAAGTGTTCTCCATTTAGAGATGATGGCTCTCACTGTGGTTCGGTGGAGTGCCAGAGCTCTAGAAATGGCTGTGTAACCCTTTCCAGATTTTTTTCAGATTTCTTTGATCGTGGCACAATGTGCTTGTTGAATCTTTGTGCTGGCACCTTGACTCTGACGGTAAGGGTCAAAATACAGTCAGTGAGGTTTATATTGAGCAGGGCTGGCTGTAATCAAGCCTGGCTGTGTTCAATCAGCTGACTCTAATTATCCCTTTAATAGGGTTGATTTAACTAGAGGGCAATTACTTTTTCACATAGTGCCAGTTGGTGTTGGATAACTTTCATTAAGTAAATGAAATAAGTAAAAAGAATGTGTTATTTGATCACTCAGGCTCCCTTTATCCAATATTAGATTGCGGTTGAAGACCTGAAAACATTCAGTGTCAAAAATTTGCAATAACAGAGGAAATCGGGAAGAGGGTAAGTTATTTTTCATGGCACTGTAGATGCATTCACAATATGAAATAACAAATATGTTCTGACAGAATGGAACTGAGAGGGCCTACTGAATATCTCAGGTACTTCCTCTTCTTTGTAGTGAATACAACTGACCATAATACCACTAAATACCACACACTACAAATCAGTACTAACCAGAAAGCCTGTTATTTTAAATTTTCACCGCTGAAGTTTTCAAATGCCAACACTGAATGAGATTTGATTAAGCTAATTCATTTGATCACCGTGCAAAAAAAGGATTTAAACGAGTAAAAGTTCTAATAACAGCACAGTGCGGAGCCAGACTCAGGTCAATGAACTTTGCCCCCAAACTTTCAAAGCCACTCCAGCAACCCACCTCCAAAACTAAACAAAATGACAAAAGTTAAAAGAACAGAAAGATGTGGTCAAAAGTGTAGATTTAGAAAATGCCAGTCGGCAGAAATATGTGTACTGGGATCACTACTGGTGAAGGGCTGATTTGGGCAAGTCTTTGGCAGGAGGGAATGGGTCTCCATGAATGGATCCGGGATAAGGGTGTCAAAATCAGCCACAGGGTTCCAAACAGGGATCTGCCATTTCCCTGACCTGGAGGAGTTTAATCTGGCTTTACACACACTCTGCCTGGAGCAGAGAAGGCAATGTTTACTGAACAAGCCAGCCTGGTGGGATGCAGCTTGAGACCTCCTTCAAGCAGGTCTAGGGAGATGGAGATGGGGCAGGTGAGTAGGCCCACGTGCACACAGGAAGAGAAAGGCACTCGAGGCTCACCACCTGAGTTCCCCTCTGGAGTGATGGACATCCTCTGCTCACCAGCGGAGACTCAGAATTTGCTGATTCTGTGTCTGTGTGAGCCAGGCACACAGGTCTGAGGGGTGGGGTGCCTTTTATCTGTGAAGTGAAATCACAAAATTGATAACTGTCAAGGGAGGTTTTGTCATTTTTGTCTGTATTTGTTTGTCATTCTGATTCAGCGAGACGGTCTTCTAGACAGCGTCTGTTTTTGGTGGCGGCGGCGAAGGCTCTTACCCAACCACGCACGGTATTTATGTTCAACTTGTCTTCCTGTGGCTCTTTCAGAGACGGGCGTCGCCCTGATCGCAGGATTACAGCAGCTGTGCAATCGTTTACTGCAAGTTACCAGTACCCACAGTGAGAAACAAGGAGGAAAGAGCACGTTGTCGCTCAAGTCTGCAGGGGCTCAGGGTGTCCCATCTCTACATTTGTGTGTCACAAGGGTGCTAACAAGACCCCTAATGCACCCTTCTTCACTGAAAGGAATTACCCCCAGTTCCTCATGGAACAATGATGTTTCATGTTCTAGCCTATCAAAGCAGAGAGAAGTTGCCATGCAGAATAAAATATTCACGTTAGTAAAATTAAACTTTTTCACAGTTTTAAAATTCATATTTTATAAAAAAACACATTTTCATTAGGCTACTTTAGATTCACACTGTATGTATTCCAGGAATGCAATTAGTAATACAAAGCCCTGAATGAACAGAGACCGATATTGACAAGTCTTTCTTAGTGGACTTCGCCTTCTCTGAGTGGAGCCTGCCCAACACGAAGGAACACGATGTATCACTACTTTGATGCAGGGACAGACGAGATGAAATTCAATTTCATCAAGCTGCGAGCGGAGCATGAAAACTTCTTTAAAAAAAATATATCTGCCGACGTGCACTTAGCCACTGAAAAAGCAGCATCATCAACAACAGAAAGCATTTTGACCCTGAGCCGTGCAACCGCAAGTGACATCATGCCCATTGCTCTTTTTATAAGGATGCGCCCCCGAATGCTCTCGCACTTGAAGTCCACGCTTGTTCTACGTCACAGATGCACGGACAGGGAGGAAGGACTTGGCGCCATGCGAGAATTAATCGGGACACGGCTCAGTGTTAATTAATGCATTAACCCGGCTAAGTCACATGACGTCACCTGCGACTTACACGTACGGTCTCAAGTTAGCGTGCGTGAAGTACGCTCAGGAGTTAGCTGTTTGTACTCGTGCTTTGGGTTCCAATTTCTGCTCATTATGTCCCCAGATAAACTTCGAGAATCTACCTTTTCAGTTCTGATTGAAGAGGGCAGCAGCTCTCCCTGAACGCTGGAATCCGTACCAATAAAAGTCGCAGTTCTTCAGCTGAGCTTTTCTTTTTCTGCTCCAGTATCTCGGAAAATGCCGCCTTCTCCTCTCTGGCTTGTGCGTTGACCGACGCAATGTGATGACGAAAGCCGTTAACCACGCCCCCGGCCCGCGTTTAAAATCGACCCTTTTAAAACGATTTTTATTAAACATATAAAGAATTTACAAATAATAATAATTAATAATAATAATAATAATAATAATTGCTTACACTTATATAGCGCTTTTCTGGACACTCCACTCAAAGCGCTTTACAGGTAATGGGGACTCCCCTCCACCACCACCAGTGTGCAGCATCCACCAAATACAACTACAACCAGAGGATCAAAGACAGGTACAAGAGAAAAAAACCCAAACAGAAAAAAACATTTAACCGTCGGAGGTTATGAAGTAAATTATGTGATCAAATTGTATTTATTACACATATCATGTGTTTCCTGCCACCCTCCACCCTGGAGCCGCTCAGAGCTGGTTTGTCAAGTCAGTTCCTGTGTAGAAGCTGTAACACGGGACGAAAATATTCTTGTGGGAAATCCTCTCGGAGTCCTTTTGTGCGCCAATGACACAAGGGTATAAAAACAGCCAGCTTTCCTTTCATCCGGCAGGACAGACGGTCTCAAGGACAAAATTAATAGAAACAGAGTGGGATTGATTGGTAAGCGTTTTAAGTGAGTAAATCTAGCTAGGGCCTCCTTGCAAACTCAGAGCTTAAATCTCGGTGGCTAATATTGGCCCTCTTAAACGAATTACTAACATTAATACTTTGGAGAACTTTTTATCACGAATGTTAAAAAATTCCATCTGCTTTAAAGTTAATTTTTTATATATATAAATACCTAGTAGATATCTCTGCAGGTCTCAGAGACGACTACAGTTCAGAAAAAACATCCGATGGCAGAGTAGTCAAGTGAAGCAATTTAAGGCTCTGCCATGAAATCTGATTACTTCAGAGGTTTTGACAACGACACCGGTTTCAGAACAATCTTGGCCATGTCTCGGAAAATTATGATCTTGTTGAACTGTCTGTTCAGAATGAAACAAAAGCCAGAAGACACTAGGCGCTCCAGGAAGTCAGTTTGACACCTCTGCTCTTAAACAACCACTAGGAACTAGATGGAACAGATAGATTCCTCTTGTTTGTCCTGTACAGCAGGGCTGCCGCTCGGTGACCAGGTCGTGTCAGATCTCGGGAGCCAGGCAAGGCTGGGCCTCGTCCCGAGGAGACCAGGCCTGGTGCTGGAGGGCTGGAGTGCCTGCAGGGTTTGAAGATCCTTTCAATCTGGGGAGGAACTAAATTGGTTGCATTAAGCCAGTAATGAGCTGATTTAGGTTAAGAGCTGAATTGGAATGAAAACCTACAGACATGCAGGCCCTCCGGGACCAGACCAACCATTGCTGGCGTAGCTGGTACTGTCACAGGGACCAGACTGCCCATCGCTGATGTAGCTGGTACTGTCACGGGGACCAGTCTGCCCATCACTGACGTAGCTGGTACTGTCACGGGGACCAGTCTGCCCATCGCTGACGTAGCTGGTACT